GTAACATGCTCTTTTCCCTGTTATAGTTTAACTGACACCTTTATTAAAGTCACTTTACTCTCATACACCTACTGTATTACAAAAGTTTGCTTCCACGAGCTTTTTTCCTTACAAATTTGCGCTTACATGAGGACAACGAAGTAATTCAATTGCCAAAGGTATTACTACTATTGGTGACCAACCAATGAAACTCTAGATTTTATTATATACTTTTTTATACTTACTATATATTAACTGTAAGAATTTTCTTATTTGCAATTTAAATTTTGAATTTTTTGACAATGTCTCTTTCTTGCTTGCTTGAACGCTGTTAATAAATTTTACTATGCTAAAATCCGTGTCTACATAATTTAAAAATCTTATCACAGTTCAACGCTCTATAATAGTTACTCTTACTTTACACAGGGTTAGATAGGAACCTATAATGAATGGAGCTCTCCATGATATTCACAGATCTTAGTCCTGTGATAGAAGATGACGATGATGAATAGAAGATGATGACTTATGTAACTACTGAATAGATTTATTGATTTCAGAGATTCACAATAACTAAATTGTTTTGGTGTCTCTACTAAAAAATAGTGCACAGGCAAAACCTAATAGTATTATACGAGTATGTACACTGTTAGGGTATTTCTAAAGGAAATCACACAGTCATCATGTTAAACACATAGCAATTAACAAGTAAATTATTCGTGAGTGCTTTCACAGTGCCCTGCATCCGGCGTGCGCCTGCGCTCCCAATTGGACTTCCGAGCGCGTTTCCGAAATCGCTCCAACAACGAACCGTCGCGACCATTTTAATGACACCAAAGGGAGCTATTGTTTTGTTATTATTGTGGCACGAGACAGGATGCTGGCTAATTAGACACTAATTTACTTACTTGTTTTATTGCCTTCATCATATTAGTAGTTTGTTCATTTAATTACATAAAAATCCTGATCGTCCTTTGTTTTTATTTTTTCTAGATTGTTTTAGGACTTCGTATATATTCTGTTCTGTTTATTACTCCTCTCCATCCGAAAGATATCTGAAAGAGATTAGTGAAAATGCCGATTATTATTTTCTCTCTGTAACTTTAGCTAAATTTTCAACTGTAAAATTTTATTCATATATTGCTTGAACTTAAAATATTGATCTTTAAATAAAAAATGATACACAAATTTCAGACAGTTATTTCGTACAGAACGATACTGATTATTAACGGTTCAGAATATTTATGGTATAAACTGGATAAATAATTGAAATGGTTTGTATGCGGCAATTTACCAAGGCAATAAATATCTTTAATGTGGATTGACATGTTACAATGCCGAAATGAACTCATCCGTCAACCGACCATCTATAAATTGGACATAGAGGGCTAGTTCGGGCGTGGTGTTGTGACAGACAAGGCGGAAGAGACGCGTTAGCGAGGACTACTGATCAACGATTATTTGGTAGAACCGGGTAGAAATAAGTAAAACTTGTATTAAACTAAAAAAATAAAAATAAGTCAATAAACCTCAACTATAAAAATTATTTTGAAACTTGCGAGTTAGAAGAATTATGTTTGTAAAAATATAGTAATAATAATATAAATAATAATTTTAGTCAAATTTAAATACTTCTTTCTTAAAATCAATAGAATATTTTACAATTCATAATGATAGTCAATAACCCTCTTGAAACAAGCCATTGTCTTTTATTTCGATGTTTGAATATTAACAAACTCGCAATTAGACAATAATTGCTTGTCGTAAAACAAGAGTCGTAAATGGTATAAGAGCAACAGTTAAGTGTTTATAAAATAAAAATGACCAAATGGATCTGTCGGATGATCGGCGTAATATGCGCTGATTTGTGTGCCCCAGTTCGCGTATTATGAGAGTGCGGAGTGCGCAGGCGCAGGGCGCGCGACCCGCGCGTCCAATTATACCTATTGCCCAAACAGCCGCACTGATCTCGTTCGTATCCAGTGGTATCCGTTTTAATTGTTCTGCGCATTGTGCGTCATTGAATGGACCATAGAACATGTCCGCATTATTCAATGAGAAACGATAAACATTTTGTTGAATCATCTATTGAGATATATATAATTTCGCAAACTCTAGTCACTGTAATAAAATATGATGGCATGAAATGTAGGCCACACTTTAATGTGACAAAAATGAAACTAATGATCTTTAAAATAAGATTCTGATATCACGAAAATAATGATAAAATTCAACGATATGAAACTAGATATTAGAAAGATAAATGTAACTATGAGAGAAGACGTACCTACCTACGTAAAGAACCTTTATGCATATTATTATTATACATATTTTATATATTTATTTCGGTTTAAAGATGGGATATGGCAGTGAATTATCATGAGCGAAACAGTATACACTATTATTTCCATGGTACTGCTCATATCTATAGGCGATGGTTACCACTTTTCATCAGGTGGGCTTGTATGCCATTCTAAGTTACATAAAAAAAAATTAAAAAAATCTGAATAAATGAATAATCCTATTTCTTGATTATTCTATCTACATTCTTCTTAGCTAAATTTGCCCACTGGACTGGATCCTAGTTATGTCATGCATAAGTAATAATTGCCCTGTATGAATAAATGGTTTTAATTTATTGATTGCTCAATATTTGTCAGTGTAAACTGCTGAGAAAAGTATTTATAACACTATATATTAATATAAAAAATACATCTCTAAGATGTTTAATGAGGTGCTATTCATAATTTAAATAATTCAATAAACAAACAATTTTATCTAATGTTAAACCCAAATATAATAATTGGTCACTGACAGCCTGTTGATAACTTCATTATTAAATTAAAGGACGCCCACTGAGATGCTAATTGAAATTATCCTATAATTACAACGTGCCAGTAATAGTTTATGTCACGGAAAAACATTTTTTTTATACATATGTATAAATTGATATTTAATGTTAATTATATATATTTGTAATGTATACTTAGTCTTTAAAGGTTTAATGACTATTCAACAACCACAAGTTTGATCGCCTATTCAAATTTATTTTAAAAAGTTATAAGTTTCTGAACTGATTTTTATTCTTTTTGCAATAAATAAGGTTAATTCCTGTGTTAATCCAATATTTACTTTGTTATGATTTTTTATAATCGTTACAAATATACATATACTGTATTTGTTTAAAATTTTCATATCACATTCACACGTGCACAGAAATATGTATTTAGGGGTGCAATCAAGACAAAAGCACCTGCCACTTCCTCAGTCTTCCCACCACACCGTAAAGGTCGCCGCTCGTCCGTGAAAGTCCGTTACAAACACCCGTATGTGAATTTATAATTTCTTACGCTGGCCTAATAAATATTTACTACTCTACAGAGTTGTACTGTGTTGTTTATAAATACGAACATGTGAACGGACATTTGATAAACATTCGCAAAATCTAATTTCTTTGCGTCAATTACCATACAGGTCGAAACAGACAACTATTAATATAATTCTAGTAAATTTTTAATCACATTACTGTTCAATCCAGTTATTATTTCTTAAATATTTTTGAGATCTATAATTATCTTTTTATTATTATTATTCAAGTCTGTGCCTATTTTTGTCATATTCAAAATCCACTCTCTAGTTTATAACTATTTACCTATATTACTTTACTTACCAAAAGAAGTTTGTGCAAACTTTTTTAGCATGTTACATGTCTGTAAGTAATAATTAGATTATAAAGAAATAAGACTGCCTTCTGTAGTAAACAATTGTTTGTAACGTAGTCAATAAAGAAAAATGAATAAATAACACCGTCTCTTCTATTATATTTCAACCGCCACCCCTACTTGCATGCTTCCGGTGCAACAAGGAGGTCTGATACTCGAGTTCTACTTAGCGCAAAAGTCGGCAACACGTCAATTAAGATGTCATAGGCGTTGCAACTTTTATGAACTAGGGGGATAACGACAAACTTACCTTCAGACAAATATATTTTTTTGTTATTCTCATCCAAAATCCAACAAAAATCTCAATTCATGTAATTAGAACCCGCAATATTAGATAACTTTTAAATAAATGTTAATACGATAAACAATATAATTTGGCTTTTATTTTGTAAGACTATTGCCTAAATTGCTGATACGTTTTATCTGATGTTTTGTAAATTATAATAAATACCTATGACATGATCTCGTTAAAGTTTATTCACTACGCATTGATAACACTTATGTTACAGAGTAGATATATATTTATACCGGGAAATAACACACCATCTTACGAGTATAAATAAACTACAAAACCCAAAAAAATATCTGGGTAGATAAGTTTTTGCAATAAGTATTAATTTCTAAATTATCTCTGTCATTGTAATGGTGACTTGATTTTAATGATGTAGGTATAATGTACACGATTGTAATAATGGTACCTAATTGTCATCATTTTTCTTTTTTATTATTTACTGTTTATATTATTACTAGGTAAATACCACCTACATGTAACTAATTACATGATCTAAAAGACTTAAAACAATTAATTTAGGAAAATGTGTCAAAAATTAAGAATCTAATAAATATGGCATTTATATTTTATATTAATTAAAATATAAAAAAGTATAAACGATAAAAGGCTTAATCGGACAATGGTAGTAATAGTACTCCAAGGTCGAATCCTGGTATGAACCTATGTTCCCAAGATAAGTTCTTGTCTGGATTATTTAAACTAACTCTCACATGCTTCGTACTTCGGAAGCCATGTAGAGCCGTCGTCTGGTAAACTATGTTAGTAGCCTTCGTATATAAAGATGGCGACCTAGGTACTCTTAACACCAGAAGGTTTATACAGTTAACCCGTTGTACAGAAATTATTTATTACGTTCCAAATGGTATTAAATGGTATAAATATTTAATACCACCTAATGAAAATAATACCGTTATAAACATAACGATAAAAACATTAGTTGATATGATGACGATGATGATATTACTCATCAATCAGAAAAATCACCTATCTATCTATTTTTCGATTTGCAGTGCAGCGTTGGATGCGGGCTATGGCGAGAAGGATTGGAAAAATCATGTCAAACTGTCTGCGTAAGTAAACCATATAATTATTACTGTAGTAATATAGACTAAGTAAACTCTTAATATTTCTCATAATATTTTATTGTTATATATGTAATTGAAAAGATTTGATGCATATTTTTAATAGTAAATATAATTTACTTTATTATTTTCAGAACGTTACATCGGAAACTACTATTTCACGTGAATTATATTGTGTAATGGGCTGCAATGAAGCTCTTAATACATACTTTCAAAAATTGAGAGGTAAATAGTGCACTAAATTTACTAACACCATACATACAAATTGAATATCATAATGATAATATATTTTTTATCTTTATAGAGTTAATCGGTACTCCGCCCGCGCCAGCTCTGGTGGCCGACAGCCTCACGGCTACATCGCTGTCATTATTATGGGAAGCACCAACGCCGGGAAATTTAAGCTATTTAGTACAATGGCGATACGAGGAGTTACCAGGCACCTGGCAATATTATTCTAATACTAGTCACTCAGATCGATCCATAATACATGTCAATAATTTACGGCCTTACACAAAATATAGGGTATGTTTACTGATATTAAATAGATATTACTTATTTTGTAATATTATTATCAAAAGACATGAAAGAGGAGAAGAATCTTAATTTGTCATTTTCTTATGGGTTACAGTTTCGAGTAGCAATATTCTTATCAGGCCGAGGTGGAACGGGTGAACCATTTTATTCTGCTCCATCAGTGGTAATTTTGACACTGGAGAGTGGAAAACCGAGCTCCCCACCGTCTTCGTTAAGAGCGGCGGCTCCTGACCCGAGCCGAGTTGCTATATCCTGGGAACCAGGACCCTTTCCGAATGGACCTCTTATATCTTATGTTCTAAGACTGACAGACACGCAGCCTAACACTAATGATGCTTTAGAGGTATAAATAAAATTATGAGTTGAATTTCCTTTTTAAATCACGCTCATATACACCATATAGTAATATTTTAATAATGTTCACAGGACATGCCAGCATCAAACAACACGCTATTCTATATGTTCCAAAATTTAGCGGCAGAACGGGAATATGAAGTATCAGTGGCGATGAGAAACGTGGCAGGCGAAGGGCCAAGAGCATATGTTCGAGTGTCTACTCCTCCTTTACCCAAATGTAACAATCATTGTTCAATACGATACAATTCTTTGACTATCAATTAATATTACCCATTATTGCCTAATGTTTTTTTTTTCAGCTGTTCCTAGTCAGCAACCTATACTGATTTTGGGTGGAGAGCAAAATATTTTAGCAGCCCCTGCTAATGACATGTTCTCGGAGCCTATAGAATTATACAGCACAGAACACGTAATAACTGGTACCTGTGTTATTATTTAGTTCATACTCTGTCCAGTTATGATTTAACATGATTTTATATTTTGATTGTTTTATTATTACAGGTGTTGGTCTGGATATGTCTAGTGATTCTCTTTTCACGTCTGTATCTAACGGCTACGTATATCGAAGTTCACTTTCCAAAAAAAGTACAGCAGAACCAATTTTTACTCCAGAAAATATTTCATGCACTCCTTTAGATTTATCTGTAGACTGGTTAAATAGACATTTGTATATATTGGGAGAAATTCACTATGATGCCGACAGTTTAAATCCGCTCAATGCCACTCATACGATATGGGAAATTATACGATGCGACTTCGATGGAAAAAACCAAATTGTTGCTTACTCTGGTTTCAATTCACGTCCAATTCACTTTGAAGTCGATGCTTATAATGGGTTAGTATTATACGTATGTCTATACTTACATACTCTTGGTTGAGTTGATTCGAAAGAAATACATAATTGAAAGTTTCTTACAGATATTTATTCTGGGCATTAAGAGGTGGAGATCGTGGTGGCTTATACAGACTAGATTTGGCCAATATTTCTAATGGAGTACGTCATGAGTCACCTCCAGAATTAATAGTCAGAGATGCACATTTAGGAGCATTTACTGTAGACCACGCTGATTTTAGACTCCTGGTCGCTCATCTCAAACGCAATACAGTATTAGCTGTATCGCTCGATGGGTAAGTATTCTCTCCTATTTTATATTATTATAAGTGATATTATAAGTAATACATAGACAGTACTTATTGGAATTCATATAATATTCCATAAATTTGCCAATTCTTGTCTAATCTCTTCTGAATTAATTGTTTGGTTTCTTTAAGTTTTTGGTCTTTTTCTTCCTTTCTTGGCATACCCTCTACAAGTCTACATTATTCTTCTCTATAGTTGATCAAAACTATATTCTTTTTTATTATTTTACTCTTGCAGTCGTGAAGTTACAGACTTCCGAAGCAATACCCAAACACCAATGTTCTCAGCGACACGATCTATTGCCTATGCAAGCGGGCTCTTTTACTGGACAAATGGTAGAGAAATGCTGACTGAAGAGTATCATGCACAAAGTGACAGCTATTTCCATAATGAATATCCTCTGACTTTTAACATGAAAACTATAGCATCAAGGCAGGTGCTCGTAGCCCTTAGAAGTTGTCAACCTATTCCAGTGCCTGTTAATCCTCCGATTGGAGTGCAAAGTGTAATGGGTATTAACCGCGCAAAAGTCTCTTGGTCACCGCCTCATCTTCTTGGACATCAAGGAAGCGGCGCTTGGCAACAATGGACGTTTCATCTTCAATTAATTCATGCTGTTACTCAAGATATTATAGACATGTAAGTATAATTTTATCATTTATTATGTTGCATAATCACTGACATATAACTATGTAGTTCTGTTTTTAATATTTTGCTTCTAAAACTATAACAACTCATGAGTCTCTCTCAATAGGACCCAATATTAAAGGACATTTATGTCCTTTTATATTTCGAGTTTCCCTTCCCTGTAATGGTGTCTTGTGGTTTGTTCTCTTAACTGTCTCTTACGATATTTCTAATATGAAAGTAAGTAGTCACATATTGTATTCTTATTTCATCACTAAATGGTTTAAACATACCAAAAATAAGTTTTTCTATAATCATTTTTTACTTTACAGTAAAAATTTAAGCGACTATATGTATATAGTTGAAAATCTTGAACAGGACACTGAATATAACATCAGAGTGGCTGCTGTTACAAAATCTGGTTCGGGTAAGTTTTAAGAATATAATATAGTAAATATATCTATTTTAATAAAAATAGATATTTTATTTATATATCTTTAAATCTTTACATTAATGTGATACATTTCTTTTAAAGGACCTTGGTCATCAGAATTTGTTGGTAAAACACTGGCTTCTTCACCTACAACTTTGCACAGCACGTTGCTTTGGTCAGGACCAGATGGTCTTTTGCAAACAGATTTAACAGGAGATAATTTGCAAACTTTAATTCACAGGTATTTATGGGCCTACCTATTTTTGAAATGTGTTTATAGTGAACTTCTATTAATTATGACTTTCGTTATTTTCAGAGCCCACTTAAAAAACTTTTATATTACTGATATTTCTTGGTATCGTGACAAATTATATCTAGTCACTAATGCATCAACTGTCATGTGGTATAATACTACCTCCCATGAGAAAGGCTTAATGTCCAACATGGATAATGTTGGAAGTTTAGCTGTGGACTGGGTGGGCAAGAAAATCTATTGGTCGAATCCTAAACAACAATTGGTACGTTTGTTGACTATTAATTGTAATTAATTTATTACTATTGTAATTAATATACCTTCTTACCTTGAATTTAATTTTAATATTGACGAACCAAATATCTTCATTATATTATAGATCACTCGCGGTAACTTCGATGGTAGTAATCGAGAGCCGGTACCAATAGTGACAGTTGCTAAAGAGCTCACCATCGATTCATTAGGAGCGTACATCTATTGGAATACAGGGCATGCTGTCGAAGCTGCACGACTGAATGGCGAAAATAAAATGGTTTATTATCCAGCTCAATTATTCAGTGGTAAACAAGGTAATTCATTCTATCAAACTTATATAAAAGGTAGTGAAAATATATTATATAGATGCTACTTAAAATGTTTTTTTTTTTTGTCAGTGATGGGCCTTACGGCAGATTTTGAAAAGAAATGGTTGTATTGGTTAGTAAGAAGTTACGATGGCTCTGAACTACATCGAGCTGCAACTGCTGATCAGATTTCACAGGGTATAAGTGAGGTTAGTGTTCATTAAATTGACGTTATTAAATTCAATTTCGTAATATGACAATCTACATTGTATTATGCCTGTGCAGTCATACGAAAAGTGTTAAAAGTACTCGAACATATTGATGAAATAGTTATTTTTATGACATCATTGAAATGGAATTATCTGCATAATCGTATATCGTACATATGTACAGACTAGTAAGTGGTTTATTTTCATTTTTAATAATTTGCAAATAGTATTATTTGTAATGCTCTTATTTGTAAAACCACAGACCGTGAAATGGGTTTAAATTACTTCTATATGCCATTTGCAAAACACTGTGCTGTTGTGCCTAAATATCCCACCCTCGAAACGTGTCCTTTCGATATTTTCTTTAAAAAGAATAAGTTAACTATATTTAAAATATCAAACACAAACTTCACAACTAATTTTATTAAGTAATAAAAATGTGCTTACAGGTGTCCGGCTCCTTAGTGACTCGTCTGGCTGGTACAGCTACCCTAGGTCCGCTATGTTACTTCAGCGGTCGACTTGTTTGGGTGCAAGATGCTTCACGCGCGGTTGTATCCGATTTATCTGGCAAATATACTGCTGAACTAGTGCCTAGAGTTCATGTTATTGCAGTTAGAGATCCTACATTACACGCAAACAGCGGTAAGGCTTTCTTTATCCTTTTTTTTTAAAGCTTTTTATTAAAATTGGAAGTTTGTTTTTTCGTCGTCATCATAGGCGTATTTAAGGGGTAGAAGGTGTCCATCTCAGAATCGTCTGGTGCCCATCCCAGTGTCAGTAGCGGAGTTTTTCATTTGCGAGCAAAGACATCTCTAAAAGTACCTTTGCCCCTTTTTTTAAGGGACCAGAGCCCTTCCTGGTAAATAATTATAAAACGCCAATAATATTCATATAACAACGATAATAAACGTTACCATTAAATGGTGTTGTATATAATTTTTTCAAGTATAAAATTAACTGTGACATTATAACTATACGCCCCCATATCACTTTCCTCTCTTGTGAGTGTCGTAATAGGCGACTAATGGAACTTAATGCTCGATAAATGGGCAGCAGTGCCCTCTTAAAACATCACCAAAAGCCATACTGCGGTTACCAATCCGCCTGACAAACGTGGTAATTACTGGCAACATCCCTCATAGTGGTAAACTGTTATAAAAATGATCCCGCTCCTTATAGCAGTTTTTGAAAGAGAAGAAAATTCAGCAATGGAGAGTTAACAGCTAATATGGTATTGATATCATACATGTACACGTACATTTCAGTCATTCATTGTTCATTGAGGAACATATATATTTCCCGTAACCAAATAAGGAGCGATTCTTAGCAACGTATCAATTACTTTAGTTCTACTTCTATATTTAAAATTAATCAATCATGATGATTAATCTTCTATATTTTTTATCTTCTTGTTTTTAGAATCATTGATAGCCATTCCGGAGACGATTAACTCATCATCAATAGCAGTGGTGGGCAAATGGGACCGATTCAACGTAACTTGGGCGCCGGCGGCTCGCGTCAATGTAAATAATAGCAGAGTGTACTACGACGTTAGCTTACACTTTTCTGGACAACATAAAATTGAGGTAAATACTACTAAATATAAATATATATATATAATAGAAAGTAAATTGTATATTACCCAATATCTACGTCATTTCTGAACCGAATTTAATTATTATTTTTGTAATCGATAATGTTTACTTTCATGTTGATTACACATTAATTTTGTCGCAATTGAAATCGCTATCTAATCGCTTCTTTTGCAGAGCAAATTAATGTATACATGTTTTCTTAGGTAAGTTATAAATATAATGGTACTGTGCAGAGGACAGTGGAGGCGCCGTGGCTAGAGGTGGTGTGGCAGGGCGGCGTCGCAGGCGGCGTGGCGCCGTACAGCGCAGCCGACGTGAGCGTGCGCGCGCACACGGCGTGGGGCGGCGGCGCGGCGGCGCGCGCCCGCCTGCACTCGCCGCCCGCGCCGCCCGCTGCGCCTCGCGCGCCCCGCCTCTACGTGCAACCGGCGCCACGCAGGTACTCCACATATTGTAATTACCTCCTATACCATTATACGACAGTTTAAACAATTCTATCACACTCTTATAATCCTTTAGTATCATCATCATATCAGCCTTTAACTGTCCATTGCTGAACATAAGCCTCCTCCTTGAGGGGTTTTGCCAGTAGTTGCCACGCTTGGTAGGCGAATTGGCAACCGCAGTTAGGCTTTGGAGATGTTTTAAGAAGGACGGTGCTGTCCATCCCTCGTCTTCCCTTAGTTGTCTCATACGACACCCACGGGATAGGAAGGGGTAGCCTATTCTATGCCGGAACCACACACCGGCTTATAATCCTTACTATCTAGTATTATATACGAAAGATAGGCCTATAGGTATATTATATTCTACTGATTTGGATAAAAATTGGCAGCAAGATAATAAGTGCATAATCACAAATACAACCGAGAAAGCTTGACTTCGCTATTCTTTGTGATAAATTATTGTATTTTAGCTCAAGTTAATATTATTTTAATTAAGAATAAAAATATATCAATAATATTGTAGCGAGGGTTCGTTGTCCGCGATATTCCGATGGGAGGCACCGGCGCGTGCGAACGGCGTGATTCGCGGCTATGAGGCACAGTGCTGGGCGCTGACTGCGGATCGCGCTGCCGCCGCCGCCGCCAAACCCTCTGCCTGCGCCGACGCTCGCCTTTCGCCCGCGCACACGCAACTCGTGCTCAGGGATCTCGTCCCTGCCTCCACATACTACTTCCAGGTAATCTTTTACCATATTTATCCTGATGTAAATCTTTATTAAACTTAATTTAGTGATTAGATAAGTAATCAACCTCCATAAAGATAAATAACATGTACGTCAGATTAAACTGGGTTGCCCACAAATTCATCTGTATTGGCCATACCTTTCCTTGGAACTAAGAATCATTCCTACTCATTAATCTCATTGTCATATTCCACCTTCAGTATGGTGTATGAGCACTGGTACTGTAAAATCATGAACAAGTCTCCTGCAAACTACTTCGTATAAAATTCCCTAGTAAAATAAAAAGTTATCCATTAAATTTTATCAGTCAAAACAGAACATATTTATTAATTATATAGTTTATACAACGATGTATCATAATACTCCCTTAAACTCTCATTGCGAATGAAATATTAATTAGAATTTATTATTCAGGTTCGAGCTTATACGGACGCAGGTTATGGACAATATTCTGAAGTAGTATCAGCGTCCTCTGATGAAGTGAATCCCATTCCAAAAGTAATCATATCTTCACAAGAGTCTATAAGGATTGTTGACTTGGACTCCAGTGAGAGTGAAACTATACCAAAGAGCATGGGGATACCAATTGATTTTGCTGTGTCTATTGAAGAAAATATAGTTTATTGGGTTAACAATCTAGAAGAAATATTCTCATCGAGGATCAATGGCAGTGGCCACTATAAGGTGTTCTGATCATATACATATTCCGAATTACAGATTATTTTTGTATTATTATTCTGTAGATTCCTTTAAATCTTCTTACATCTTGTGCTCTTTATAGATAAGCCAATGCTGCTTTAAGTATGCAGTTTGATTTAGAACATCTACAGTTATGTATAATTTATTTCTAAGCCCAGTATGAATTGATACGTTTGGGTGACTTGTCTTCCATTAAAGTAGGCATATTCTTAATATTATCACAGAAAAATCTACGATAGTTATTGTTAATTTTGAACATAAATTTGAAAAGATATAATGTAATTAATCCACACTTTGCAGTTGACTTCAATCAATGGAACTGCAACCAGCATAGCTGTTGACTGGGTATCACGGTCCGTATATTGGTCTCAACTAGAGATTGTATCAACCGAGTCCTACGTCGTATATCGAGCAGATCTCGGCGTTCCCAACACTCGTCCCCATATTTCACGAGTGTTCGCTAGAAGACAACCTATTTATAGCTTGCAAGTTGTACCATTGCTCAGGTAAATAAAGTTACTAATAAGAACTGAGTTTTATATTGCCTATTTTGATAAAATTCTGTTTATGATATTATATTGCAGATCACTGTATTGGTATGAAGAAAGTATACATCCCGGCTTAGGTACACTCATGACTTCAAAAGTAAACGGCTCCAATATAAGGAAATTTTTCAACAACACCGAAAGTACTAAAGCCCATGATGATTGCAATTGTCCAGAAAATCCCCAAGTGGCAAAAACGTTTGTTGTTGACATGACAAAGAATAATTATCATTTATACTGGATAGATCCTTGGGTGTATCAGATTGTATCAGCGGATATCAATGGTTGTAAATGTAGGCTGGTCGTCGATGCTACTGAAAAGAAAAAATACGGCTTCACGCCGATGTCGGCAACTATCGACAGTAAATTTATCTATTGGTTCAATTCTACAGAAAAAGAAATATTTTATACAATTAAAAATAAAAAGAGTAAAGTGCAATATGTTAAAACTTCACATGGTTACAAGATAATGGCGATGGATCCAGCAAATCAACCGTACCCCCCAAGACACTGTTTATTTCCAATATCTCAAGTACTTCAACCAAAAGTCTTGACTAATTCTGCAAATAGTATGACTCTCCAACTACCAACCATCAGTAAACCTCAAGAATGCTCTCATTTTGAATATGAGACACCGGCGACAGAATACACAATATTCTATCGTTTGCAGTCAGCGAACGATAGTACGACATGTGACAGGGAATCATGCCCATACGTTACAACTACAAGAACTGAGGTCGTTATCAGTGACTTGAAACCATTCACAAACTACACAGTTATGTTAGAAGCTTCAAATTATTACGCCAAATTACATGAAAAGAAACCAATTTCTGGTTTTCCATTAGTTCTACAAACTGCTGCGGAAGGTAATTTTTTTCTCAATTTCAATAAGTTTTAATCATTTATAATCAGCTATCTCTCATCCCACCAATCCATTATACCGATTTAATTGACTATCTTCTATTGTTAGCTCCACCGCCTCCAAGAAATGTGACTGCTGTGGTTTTGAGTCCAGAGCTCGCACGCGTAGAGTGGGTTCCTGACCCTGGACTACGATACGAACTGCATTGGCGCACAGATGATAACTCATTATTGCCACATAGGCTGAAAGGTAGACTAACATCATTAATCAATTGTAAACCTAAGCACTATATTGTTTACTTTCATATACCTCAAATACATGTAATATACTTACACCTAAGTATGGTTTCAGTTACATTCAAAAAATCCTTTTGACTACCGCATCTGTAAACATTATCTTGGTTATATTATTTTTAATTTTCAAATCGAGCAGATTTTGAAAAATATACAAAAGTGCATCTACTTAAAAGCATTGTTTAAAATTAATAAATCTATACCGGTCGCAGTTAATGCTGCTCGCTGTACTTTTTTACTTTGATATAACACCTAGTGCACTAGGTAAATAAACAATGTACTTAACAAGTAATGCTTATGGTACGCACAGAGCACAACACGTGGGAGGTGGCAGCAGGCGGCGCCGCCAACATGACGCGGCTGGCGCCAGGCACAGGTTACATTGCGTGGGTGCGCGCGCGGTCGCCTCACGGCGCGGCCGCGGCCGACTCTCCGCCACTGCGCCTGCGCACCTACCCCGCGCCTGCACCACCCGCTCGCGCCCGCCTCGCGCCGCAGCACGTGCGTCTGCTATGGCCCGAGCCTACCTCCTACCGCCTGCACCGGTTAGTCGTGCATGATACGCTCAGAGACATACTGCACATTGCCAATTGACAAGAAGGTGCAGAGACGCATAGAGATAAAAATATATCATAACATCGCCATCTAGTCCAAAGCTAAACAAAAAATTCTTATCATGCACACATTCTTCAGTAATTTCTCTAACACAACAAATCACCGAGCAAACAAATCTGTTAGCGGTCTTTTACATGTCATAACGTTACTTGATGCTCCTTTCGGGCCTCGGCGCCCCCATTAGATCTTTACGCCCCCGGGCGCGTCCAACCGCACGCCTAAGGTAAATAGGTCCTGAGTAACGACGCATTACGTATACGGATTCGCCAATTTTTTTTTTTATGCAACTCAGAATGGCAAACAAGCTGACTGCCCACCTGATGGAAAGTGGTAACCGTCGCCTATAGACATGAGCAGTAGCATGGACATAACATAGTACGCTGGTTCGTGTGCCTCAGCTCACACTCTGGACAAATTCAAAAATATTGAATATATTCTTTCGTGCACGGTGGATTCCGCAAGCACAATACGTCATCCACTCAGGGCCTCCATCCACTAAGCCCAGTACTAGTTTAAATAAAATTGAATCTATAGTATTGATAGAATAATTTTGCATGTATAAAATATATAAAAATCTTCTTCATTACAATATATATACCAACTATTATATGGGATCGGCGTAATATGTTTCTTATCTATACTCGTATTACAAAAAGATTTGGCTCATAGTTTTACGACCTGCTGCCTGCCTGACGTCAACCCTCTTTGGGAAACATAAAATATATAAAACTACTCGTATTTGATATTATTTTCATTCTATTGAAACATTCATGAGTTATCAGGTTTTAACCTGGGGTGGAAATCATTATGATTATATCTACTTTTATAAAATGATAAAGGTACGCGATGGAGTACAGCGAAGCAACAGTCCCACCTGGCACTTGGAAAGAATGTACGAAAACTGGCCCCAGTGAATGGACTGCGAGTGGATTGAAACCGCGCACCCGATATCGCTTCCGACTTCGCTTGCAGTATGTACCGGGTGCACCGCCATACTACTGGCCTAGTGACGACAGCTTCACCTACGAAACTCTTGGTATATATTATTGTATAATATATATTTCATTTTCTGAGTTAACTATGAATAAATTTAAAAGACCTTTTATAATTCTGTACTAAATTATGTTATATATTACCTTAATGAGGGCTTATGTTTTATAATACGTCAGTCTCAACAAAATATATTCCCGGTAATTTCATTTTATTTGGAACTGCTTTCGTAGGTTTATGGAAGCTAGTGTAAAATTTATAAAATATTATCGCATATAAGACGGAACCTTATCTCGTTGTCGTGCGCAGGCGATGTACCGGGCGCGCCGGGCGCAGTCCGCGCCGAGCAGCTGGGCGAGCGCGCCGTTCGCGCCTGGTGGGCCGAGCCAGACCCGCGCGGCGCCGCCGTGGGCGCCTACCGCGTCTGGGGCCGGCCGCTACACAGGTACCGTATTTTATAAAGCAAATGAACCTAACAACTCATCTGATGGAAAATGGTAACAATCGTGTACAAGCAACATGGACATCATAATATACTGCGACACCTCACGTGTTGCCACTATTGAGGACTAAAATTAAAGGCTGGCAATGGTAGCGAATTCCATACTTTCATGCTAAATCAATCGATGGCCGCAAAATAATATTTAATAATTTATATTCATAATTTCAGAGAAAATTACATTAACATGACGAAAAATATAAGCGACATTCCATCCAATTTACCTTCTGATATACCCGAAGATATCAAAATGCAGATTATACAAGAAGGTTTAGAACTACTTCATAATGGCACAGGTACAGTTGATTTTTCATTTTACTATGTATAATTAATATTCATAGCAATATCGTTAATGTGAAGAAAACATATCAAATGCTTAGTTTTCAAAACAAAATTATGTAATTTTATTATCAGAGGGGGACCGTTATTTTTCAAAATCATTTTAACTCAAGAAACAAACATGCCAAGTTTCAAGCTTGCAGCAATTTATGCCATTTTTTGCCTTATGACGAAATTAGTATAATTAGAGTAGTGAGATATTTGCGCGGCAAGATTATCATCATTTACCTTGTATAGAATCATACTGGCTGATCGGCGCGGGCGAGGTGTCGGAGGGATACGTGGTGCGAGTGCAGGCGCGCAACAGCTACGGGTGGGGCCCGCTGTCGGCGGCGGCCGAGCTACAAGCAGCGCCGCTCGCACTCGCACCGCGCCCGCACCCCGCCATGCTTGCGCTAGCCGTCGCCGCACTCGCCGCACTACTCGTCGCCGTGGCCGCCGCCCTCCTCTACAGTGAGTACCACTTACAGTACTGATATTCTGTACACTCTATTTCACTAGTGGATTCGCGATGATATACGTTCGGTATTCTGTAAATAAGAGATAGATCGATAACAGAACCACTTAGTTAAGTTGGTGACGCAGCGAACTGGGCTAAGTGTACTACAATCCTAAGGAATTTAGTTTATGTTTTAAAATTCATTTCACTTCACTTGTTATTGCTAAAACTTGCAGATTATGAACATTTAAGAGAAGTGAAAATGAAGTAAGTTGCAAAGTGAACAAGATGCGGAGCAGCCCGCGGCAGCTTTGAAAAATGTTATAACCGAGTTATATTGTCCAAAAATTATAATATCTTAGTTCTCTCTTAAATCAAAACATTTTTGAGCATTAAAACTTGTTTCATAACCTTTCCTACAAACAATTTCCCGTTATATTATTATTTATTATTCATTATTTTTCTCCATAGCATATAACAACCGTACTAAGAAAAAAGCTGCAATTGAGAATCAGATTCCAATAAATGCACCGAGAAGAGGTCCCGATGTAGAGTTGGCCACGCTTCGTCAACTTCCTATTAGACATTCCACTAATATATTATACAATCAGGTAATTTTAAACGTTTATTTTTCCTAAAGTTTACTGATAATCGCAATCAAATTGTTACAAAAAGATTTTAAATAGACAATTACAAAAAATATCTTTGCCACACATTTATTGAAATTATTTTAAAGCATGAGTGAAAATGGAAAAGTATGCCCACCTACGCTATTAATAAGTCTATATATATAGTCGCTAGTAGAGTTAAAATTATGTTTAGATTTTTTAAGCTAGATAAAATATATAATATATGTGAACAAAATATTGTTTCAGGGGGTATATTGTCCAACTCACGCTGAATTGGCCGGGTTACCTCACATACGTAGGGAACAAATTACCCTAACAAAGTTCCTCGGTTCGGGAGCATTTGGAGAAGTCTTCGAGGGTGTCGCCAGGCAAATCAATGGTAGCACGTCCGACACTAAAGTTGCTGTTAAGGTAAATTTTAAATTCCATTATTGTTAATAATTTTGTCACAATTTCAAGTCGATTCTTTTTTTTTGTGGGACACAATTTTTAATTATGTCTATTACGATAATTTGTAGACTTTAAGAAAGGGAGCAACAGAGCAGGAAAAAACTGAATTCTTAAAGGAAGCAGCGCTGATGTCTAACTTTAAACATGAACATATATTACGCTTGCTGGGAGTGTGCCTGGATAACGACCCCAACTACATCATCATGGAACTGATGGAGGGCGGCGATTTGCTTAGTTACTTAAGAGCAAAGCGCGCTTCGCTGGTAAGGGCCTGTGTATCAAAATTTCTTATAACTTATTTGTTACCACGTAATGATTTCCACCGTAATCTCAAAGTGGATATTGTATTAAATGTTGTTCATAAGCAACAACTTATATTTACAAAAAGCTTATGTATATATGCCAAGTGCGGGGGGAAAGGGATTGTTAGTATTGGAGATTAACAGCCCCCTTGCTAGCAATATACCTTATCCGGTCGACCTCCACGCGGTTCTCCCTGGAAATCATCTTGATTAATTCTTGTGAAGTTCGTCTGGATGGGCTCACTAACCTGTTTTCATCCTCACCTATCGTCTCTCACTGGTATTCCGCCAATGTATACCGATAGCGCAGGCGGAGTTACCATTTCATTTTCACTTATTAAAAAAAAACATGTCAAGTGTCGAAACCTATAGACGCGGTAGTCATTTAAGTTTTACATTGATAATTTAGCTATAATGAATCATTGCAATTTTAATGACTTTATAATTAACAATAACTGTAGTTTCCAATTACAACTATTCAGGTAGGATTATAAAGAGTACCTTATACAGCCATAAAGATTGAAGGAATCAATGAGTATACTTTTAATTACATTATTTAACATAGGGAATAATAACCAATAGTATGTTACAGCGAAAGTAATAAATCCTGATATTATATAGTATATCCAACCATTACCTATAAGTATGTACTAAATTTAGACAAAGTGATAATTGACACAGAATTAATTACATTAACTGGCTATTTCACATAATGTCTTGGTAGACTTGGGTAATGTAATACAACAAGGGTAGGTAAAGATTATAAAGTTTTATTTCAATTTGCTTTAAGCATAACTATATGTGTAGTAATATTGTGTTGTTATTTTAAATAGTAATAATTAAAATTTTTATTATAAACTAGCATTAGTTTTTCGTAAAATTAGTAGCCTATGTCCTTCCTCACGGTTCAGTGGTTTTGATGTAACAGACACATTTTCTTTCACTGCTCTGCTATTGATTGATATTGATGAAGAATAATTGTACCAAGTTTCGTTAAAATCTGTCGAGTAGTTTTTGTTTCTATAACGAACATACAGACAGACAGACAGACAAAAATTTTACTGATTTCATTTTTGGCATCAGTATCGATCACTAATCACCCCCTAATAGTTATTTTAGAAATATATTTTATGTACAAAATTGACCTCTTTACAGATTTATTATAAGTATAGATAGATTTTCAAAACACTATATTAACATAATCGTAAATAATAAGTTCACGTTAATTATCATTGTCATAAATAATAATTTAATGTTAATTAAAAAAAATAAACCGAAAGCTAACTAGTCATAACATAAAAAAAAACACTCAGTAAATTGCTATTATTTTTTGTTTTTTAATTCTTAAGAGATTTTACCTTCTTCAGGTATTTCAGCCCTACCGTACCCTGATTTCTCAGATAAGATTTTACCTACTTTCCCTTATTCACGGAAAGAGAGGAATTAATAGGTATCAATAATATACAGAGATGTTCAGAAATTTCTAATTGGTTCAGTTAATATTGATTGAATTAGACCAATATTTAATTTAGTTACCTAAGAATGACGCATTAATTCTTCTCTTTTCATAAAGTTATATGACACTCTAATAGTATATATTGCACATCATTGATAGTACCACAAACTTGACAATGGGGTGACGAAGACTTTTCCAACATGTGTAAATTTTTTGCCAAATCGAAAGAGCTCTATAAATAATATCCGGATAAAGTGAATAATTTATCACATTGTCTGGCCAAATTAGTCATTATTTATTTATTTATTTATTTGAAAATTTCTCACTACACTTACAGTTTCCCAAAACGTGTAGTGAGCCAAAGTTTTATTTCACAAACTTACAAATTTTGTACAACATTTTAAAAATATACTTCTTTTGTAATTAAATATGTCAATATCTGGCTGCTGAGCAATCAGAGAATTGAGCAGAGAAATAACCTGATACGTGGGAGCAAACTGAGCAGTACAGGTACGAACCGGCGGTGCCGATAGTAGTCTACAAGCACGCAATCGCATGCAGCGTTGGGGTGCGTACAAAGAACAACGGCTAAGAGTTGCAGGATTGTCTATTCCGCCGTTGAGCAACTGATAATAGTGCATCATCAAATTGCACTTTCGCCTTACCTCGAGCGTGTCTAGACCTACCATACCGGATACGAACAGTGATGGGTACAAATAAGGATAGTAGCCATAAAGTTTACTATATAGAACACGTGCAAATTTCCTCTGAACTCTTTCTATCATTATCTTGTATATTGTTTCATGAGGGTTCCAAATAATTGAATTGAATTCTAAAATGCTTCGTACAAATGAATAATATAATAATAATATTGCACCTTTATCTTGAAGTTGTGCCGACTGTCTTATCACAAAACCTAACGATTTATATGCACGACTACAAACGATGGTTATATGATTATTAAAAGTTAAAGCAGTGTCCAGCGTAAGGCCTAAATCGCGTATTTGTGACACACGTTCAAGCGGCGTACCAGATATATTGTAGACATAAGAATGGGGAACACGAGACCGCGTGAATGTGACCGATTTACACTTTGAAATATTAAATTCCAAGTTATTATGTCCAGCCCATGCCACAACGTTGTCAATATCTCGCTGTAGAGTTACACAGTCTTCCATGGTTCCGATAGCCATGAATAGCTTCACATCGTCAGCAAACATGAGACACTGAGCAGTGTTAACAACATCTGGCAAGTCATTGATCATAATTAGGAACTGCAATGGACCCAGGGTACTACCCTGGCTTACTCCGGAGTCGGTAACATAGGATTCAGATCGATAACCATGTAATTGGACGTATTGCGAGCGATCGGAAAAATAACTAATAAATAATTTTAAAAGTTTAGGTGTAAATCCTATCTCTGAGAACTTTTGTAATAAAATATCATTGTGAACGCGATCAAATGCTTTTTTGAAGTCAAAATATGTCACGTCTACTTGTCTATTATGATCCATTTCAGTAACTGTATAATCAACAAAGTTTATCAGATTAGTAGTAGTCGACCTACCAGGTCTGAATCCATGCTGACAGTCTGTCAATTGAGGCTGGACTTGCACCGAAATCAGTCTGTTTAAAATGGATTCAAATAATTTTCCTAAAGCTGGAAGTACAGCAATTGGCCTATGATTTGAAATTTGGGATTTAGAACCATCCTTGGGTATAGGTATAACCCTGGACACTTTCCATAGCTGCGGATAGGTACTTGTTGTGATAGCCAAGTTCATTATATGTAGGAGCGCTTCCTCTAAAACTCTTATGCAATCTTTAATAATAAATGACGGTATACCGTCAGGCCCAACGCATGTCCCCACCCTCAATCGTTTTGCTGCTCGCTGCAGGTCGGTTAGCGTTATATTCTCTATAGCGACGCGAGCAGAGAGTTGGGAACACCTTGCCTTGCTTTCAGCCAGATTGCCAGATAAGACAGGTTTATCGTCTAAAAAACTCGATTTAAAATGTTTTGCAAATGCATTTGCAGCATCTATCCCAGTTACCACTTCCCCATCATGATCGTATTGGTCTCTATTACATGTAATGACCAATCATTATGTATAATAGCTAATCACTATGACCGTAACAGATGCTCTTGTACAGTAAGATGATACAATAACTTCAGTAAGCATCAATTAGTATGTATATTTGCAGTACACACCGGAATCGTTGACGCTGTTGGACCTGGTGAACATGTGCGTGGACGTGACGAAGGGCTGCCGCTACCTGGAGGAGATGCACTTCGTACACCGCGACCTCGCATGCCGCAACTGCCTCGTGGCGCAGCGCGCCGGTGGCCGTGTCGTCAAAATCGGCGACTTTGGTCTCGCGCGCGACATATACAAGAACGACTACTATAGAAAGGAAGGAGAAGGTGCACTTTTGAGAAATATAATTTGTTCTCAACATATAACATTTAAAATGGAACAATATCTCAATATTCAACTTTGTTTTCTTACAATAATATGTTTATTTATAGGTCTGTTACCTGTTAGATGGATGGCAGTGGAGTGCCTAGTAGACGGTGTATTTTCTTGCCAATCTGACGTCTGGGCTTGGGCTGTATTGTGCTGGGAGGTAAAAATTATGAAAGTGCACTTATATTTCCTAGTTTATTTTCTTTTTAATACTTTGAATGAATAATCACCATCAAACGTGGACAATTACAGGTATTGTCATTAGGCCAACAACCATATCCGGCGCGTACTAATAGGCAAGTGTTAGCGTACGTACGCGCAGGAGGAACGCCTGACAGACCGCCTAATTGTCCTTCCGTGTTGTGAGTACTAACTTTTGATTTTCTTTATATGTGTGAACCATAAATATTTTTTGATTTAAGAATTAAGACTTTATACAAAATAATATTTTAAATTGTTTGATGATTTTTTTTTATACAACTTAGAATGGTAAACAAGCTGACGGTCCACCTGATGGAAAGTGGTAACCGTCGCCTATAGACATGAGCAGTACCATGGACATAACAGAGCATACTGTTTCGCCCATGATACCCCCCATGCGTTGCCATTCCTGAGGAATCAGGTGTTATGCCTCCGTACCCAATAAATTCACGCCATATCCCACCCTTCAAACCGAAACACAGCCATGCAAACACAGCTGCTTCACGGTTGAAACACGAATGGGACAGAGGTACCCAAGCAATCGACTTTTGTACAAAGTTTATAGAACAGGACGATTAATTTTGTGACCAAGATAAACATGATTATTGTCATCAAAATCTGATCATGATCGTCGGAAATCTTACAATATCAAAAAGAGACAAATAAAAAATTCTTACTTTTTAAACTATATACATATGTTTATTATTAGTTACGAGTTACTGCAAAAGTGCTGGAGCTACAATGCGGAGGCGCGACCATCGTTCCGCACCTGCCTGGAGGTGGTGACAGCCCTGAGGGACAAGACCTCACCCAACATCACGCTCACCGCTACCCCTACGCCTGCGCCGCACTATCTCACGTTGCTCCCCGACGGTGAGATCGACACTACGGCTCTGCATCTTATTAATAAATTTTATTTCGTAAACATATTGAACATGTTGCACGCCAAGTATTGCCTAACAACATGACTTTATTACTGATTATTCGTGACTTATAAAATGTATGAATACAACTATAAAACCGTACAATCACCTGACCACATATTATACGCAACATGTAGCAAAACATGTAACCCAACATATAGAATGATGACGCTTTTTTACCAAACCCGCAAGACACGCATTATATTGAACTTTATTTGGCAACTTCAAATCACTATCATTAATGTTGCTAAATATATTAAGCAGAACACAAGCAATCATTATCTTGATAATAAACATTAATATGCCATTTAATGGGTGTAGTCTAATAAACATTCTTATAAGGTATAAGTATTTTGTTTATGTCGCTACATTCACCAACCTCGCATGGTACTTTTTATAAACTCTGTAAACTCTTACCAAAACAGCATGTGTCGAATCGAGTCCGCAGCGACTAAATCATTAAAAGTAAACTAGTAATGCTTTTCTTGGTTCGTAATAATTAAGTAGACATTATATTTGTCTTGCTAGATTTTTTCGCTGCGCTGCCGTACATTTTTGATGCACGAGCGCGAATAATAATCACATCATTGTCATTCTCATCATAATTCACTATCAATCATGGATCAATTTTTTTATCATTACAACATTAACAATAATCTCTAACAACATATTTATTGCGCATGGGCAGCATGTTCAGACGCCGTTGACAACCGTACCTACCTGCTGGACGAGAACGACAACGCCTTAGGTTCGTGCATTGATATTGGAATTTTAACTTCATAATTAATTATGTAATAAGCGCAGACTTAGTAACATATTTGCTCAAAAATTGAACTAATCCCGCAAATAGTGACGTGCAAGTTTAAACTTCATAGATATCAAATAATGTAGTTTAAATAGCAGCTATTGATGTACGATAAATAATAAAAACCCAAGTGTCCGAGCTAGAATTGTACTCAAATAGTAGAAACCCTGACACGGGATACGTTTTCAATTTCCAGTATTTTTTATCTACATCAATGGTAACAGTAACGTATAACTTGAGCAAATAGATGAACTGTCTACGCTGGTTGTATTATTTTCTAAATATCACACAATTCGACAGACGAAGACTACCCCGAGCATCAGATGGAGCCGTCGCGGCTGCTGCCCGAGAGAGCACCGAAGTACCTTGAGCTGATGTACGAGGGCGACAGCGGGGACAGCGACGGGTGGGGGGTAATATCAGCGGATGGCTACGAAGTTCCGCTTCCAGCGTCATGCCGGCACAGCATAGTCGGTGTGGCGCCGGCGCGGCTGGTTCGGCCGCCGGCGCGGCTAGCTCGCTCGCAGTCGCTACGCGGCGCCCGCGGAGTACGCCCACCTAACGCGACCATCGTGCCGCTACGACGCGGGTTGACAGCACGTGCCTCCCTTTACGATCCGCATACGAGCCCGGCCCGTCCCCGCGTCCCCTTCGATGACCACGTTTTCAAGACTACTTTCTGAACTGTGATATTAGACTACCCTAGTGTATCATTCCACCGAGAGTATCGAGTTGTAATTTAGCGTCTTATTTAATTATTTATTTATATCTGATTGTAAATAAAGGTATTGACTCGTTGTATATATTAGTGTAAGCCGAGCGCCTACTGTGTAAGCGAATTTTAGATGACGCTTGTACGATGTACGGCAAATAATCTTGTAGCCTGTTGTAATTCCTAATGAAATATTTTTCCTATAAATATAATTGGGACTTGTATGATAAATAAAACAGGAAATTACTTAAGAAACTTAGTTTTATTTTAAAGTAACTTACCATCTATATAGTAATTATGTATTTTAACTTACAAGCCTTGTCAGAACTTTTGCAAAATCATATAAACATGATAAATGTATCTATTTATATAATATTAATTCAATAGAAACTACGAAAAGACGACTGATATTGATCGAAATAGAAAAAAAAAAAAAACAAATTAATGGAGCCCTAACAGAGCATGAACCTTTTAAAATATTTTTAAATTATAGTATTTAAAATAATATTTAAAAAAAATATTAGAACTATTGAGGACAGAAGGGGAAAAATGTTAGGACACTTGATACGACACGACGAACTTATGAACATTATAATAGAAGGTAAGATAGAAGGAAGAAGGGGGGAGAGGGAGACCGAGACATAGTTACATCAGGCAGATCAAGGAAGGAGTTGGTGTCGTGTCGTATCAAGAGGTGAAGAGACTCGCTGAAAATCGTAGTGAGTGGCAAGAGCTCCACCGACAAGAGCGCAGCTCTTAAATGGATAGATAGATAGAGTATTTAAAAAAAAAGTTGTCATTTATATAAAAGCTGCAATTGAAAACAAATTTTAGTAAACTAAAATAAGACTAATAAATCTTTATCAATTATCGTTTTTATTCCCGAAATCAATTTTTATTTAAATAATAAATGTTTTGTGATTGTCCTTTAATTATTTAGTTTCGTTCAGATCGAGAACTTCCACAGTAAGAAAATGTATCTCATTGCTGGATTGGTGCCTGCATTCATTATCACGAAGCCAAAGAATTTTTTATTATCAAACTATCGTGCAATAGTTTAAGATGGCGCAGTGAAATTTATGGTTTTGATTTAACGGGCTATGCGTAATTTGATAAAAAAATAGATGACTTTCTTAACAATAGCCAATGTTTGTTAGTTACAATTGCATTGTAGTATAGATATTTCCAATGCAGGCACAGTTCCAACATTATACATATATTTCTACAGCAGACTGTATGTAAATATTATTATTCTTACGTTTTGGACAAATATATACAGTATCTGTATACATATATATATCAATGTACAACAGATACAATATATATCAAAATGATGGCATTAACAAAATAAAATAGATTCTACTTTTATACCGGTATCTCGTTTAATTTAGATCTTACAGACATTTGTACAAACAAAAACGCAATTTCTCTAAACATATTTTTAGTCTAGTGAAAAAACTATCTATGATATAGTATTTAATATTGCCACTTGAGCGTACCTAGATGTGACCGAACAATACTGGATATGAATAATATTTACTCCCCGTCTTCAGCTAGCTCCTGTTTGACGCGCTTGTCTTGTTTAATCTGCTCTGTAGTTGTGACATTATCACCGATAGCGGGGGCCTCCTGCCGGTGCAAATAGATTGCTGTATAATCTATTTTTCGAGACAGTTTAGTCAATATGCAAAATAAAAAATTTATGGCATAGTAGATAAACAATTTTGATACGATTCTATAGAAAATTATCATACATAAAAATTTCAAGTAAAACGAACATTGCATCACTAGTTGATGTTGTCGATTCTTACCTGATGATCGTCATCTTGCGCGTCATCTTTACTGTTTTCATGTAACAGTACATATTCTCGTTGAGAGAAGCCAAACTTAACAACATCGCGCTCGAGGAGTTCAACGTATCGACGCGGCTCTATTTTCTTGTTGTTTACAAAGGTACCGTTAGCTGAATCTAGAAAAAACAAGTATTAACACATCAATATGTGTTACACACGTCACTCAATAGTGACGAACAGTATTGAGTGCCCATGTATACATTAACCGTCAATATGGTCAATAGAATAATTTATGCCTAGTATGAAGTCAGAGGTATGGTCTTAAGCCACCTTCTTAGTCTCTGTAACATTTCTGAGAAGTCATGATTCTATTTTGTGAGTCAGTCTACTTAATCTAGACAGCATAATATTACAATTTCGAATAGAAACCATCGTGGTTAATTCCAGGACAATTAATCACGAAGGGCTGACTGACCTACCTTTAGCCTCATTTATCATCACTCACTGCCAGTGCATACCAATAACAAAGGTTGGATTACAACTACATTTTCATCACATTATAAAAAAGAATACTTGTTACCTTCTATCTGATAATATTTACCTAGATCAATGACGTAGGGTCTCACACGACGGCCGGTGGTGCCATCGGGCCGCACGAAAGGCGTGGCACGGTACTGTAGTGCGGCGTGTTGCTTGCTGATGGACGGGTGCTCCAATGCGATGTCGGCCACCTTCTTGTCGCGCCCGATCAGAAACGCCGACTGCCGATGGATGTATAGGATCGGCAGGGCTTTGTCTCCCTTGAATGGATAAAATCTGTAACATAATAATAATGTCTTAATTTAATGATGGGCCAATTGACTTGTTCCATCCTCATCTATTCCTGACTGATACCTCGCCAGTATATACTAATAGCGTATATGGAGATCCCATTCTAGTATCATCCATTAAAACAATCAATATACTATCTACCAACTAGCTAAATATCGTGACTGTACCTCCATCTCCTTTTTGGTTGTTTAGCATCATCAGGTTCTGTATATTTGATGACAACTCCATTGACAGTGTTTGCATCAGCTGTCAGTTTACCAGAAAGACCAAAGTTTGGCTTCTCTTTTTCACCTTGGTTCTTCTCACCTTCTTTCTTTACCTCTGTCTTACCCCAATTGTATTCTTTGTCATCAGCATCTGCAAATCTGAAATTAAAATTTAATTTAAATTAAATATAATTTTAATGAGAATAAATTCCCCTTTTCATTTGATGACATTTTTTTCACATGACAATATGATACATCATCTTATAAATAAGTACTATATAATAATAGACTTTATTTCAACAAATTAAATACACACATTATTGTCACTAAAGGCTAATTTCTCCTTATTTGTATTAACACACAAACAATGCATTTCATTCGTTTTAGCATACAGTCTCAACAAAATTTATATTACGTTATTGAATCAAATACGGTGGCAGACATTTAAGTTGAAAGAAGACAAAGACACTCGATACTCTAGTATATAATCTAAAACTTAATAGTAATAATTAAATAACATTTATCTACATCCTTCAATATCCGTTACACAAATCAATCATCCAAATTACATACCTGCTCTTACGCTCTCTAGTTTTGGGTTCAAGTTTGATAGTGGGCTTGCGGTCATCGCGAAGGTCTTCGCGGCGGTCGTCGCGGCGGTCGTCCCGGCGGACGTTGTTCCGACCCGCTCGCTCTCCGTCACGATCCTCGTTCCTACCCGCTCGCTCTCCGTCGCGTTCCTCTCGTTCTCTATACCGTTCTTCTTTCTTCTCTCTAACTTCAGGTCGCCTACTTCGATCCCTCTGGCGGTCCTCTGGACTTCTAGATCTTGATTGTTCCCTAAATAAATAATAATATATTTTTTTCTGCGCCACTACTAATTAGTCCATTACAATTCTAACTGGACAGATTGTCACATTTTAGGCTAATATGGAATCTTTATTCACAATTTGTAAAGAAACGAGTAATACATTAATATGTTCATAACATCTATATTAAAATATACATGTCCTAAAATAAAAAGTGTCAACAAGTCGTTCATCTCTGAGTCACATATTTAACTCCGGTTACTTACAAGTTTTGATTATTATTCACTGGTTTATGGCGGTCAGATAATTACTATTATTTACACAAACCTTTCTCGTGGCGCAGATGACTTATCCGTCCTGCCTTGTCTATCGCGACGCACCTCGCGCTGTCTGTAAATGATATAATATCTAATTATAACCTGCAAATCAGCTATATACCCAGGTAATAGTGCTCTATTAGGTATCCTGTTAAATTAACAGACTTCATGGATTACTTTATATAGATGAAATTATACATAAACACAAAATTATTGCCAATTATAAAAAATACAAAACAATAAAAGTGAATCGCTCATGATCACCTTATCAAGGATTTAATCATAGTCGATATCAATTTTTAAATACATATAAAAATAAGAAATAGTACATTTAAGCAAAAAATATATCGACGTAAAAAAAATCCATGTTAAGATCTTGTACGCCATAATTATTATGATTTAAAAACAGCCAACATATTATTTCCATCACGGAGTACCAATTATTTTGTCACGCCTGTAAATCGTAAACTTACCATAACTTTTGTAACAAATGTTGTTTGACGAAGTTATACCTACTAAAATTCATCCGTTCGTGGATTTCTCGCGTCATATGAAATTCGATAGCTATTGTTATATTTTAAACTCTAGTATGCCGTTCTCTTTACAATGCAATGTTTACGTATAAGTAACCTTTTTAATCGGAATTGTAGTAATTCGACTTCGCAGCTTGTCTGTAATTTTCTTTAAACATATCTGAACTGGAACTAACGCTGTTTTTTATCTGGGACAAATTCTATCCTGGATAAAATGATAATTCTAATATATTTAGATATCTTTTATCAAATTGAAACTCCCATATTTTTTTCTAAATTTGAATAAACCAAATCAATTTAATTTTATAAATCTAATCAAATGTCATCTTTATAAATTTTATAATGATCAATATTTTCTTTCTTTCCTTGTAATTCCTGTGTTTAGTTTTCCCATTATTGATGTCAAGTCGATGCTTAATCTTTAAGAAATATATGAAGAATGATATTTAGTCAAGAGAAATCCGATTAAAATGTATGTACTTGACAAGTACCTCCTTATTTATAAGCATCATATGCTCTAAGCAATTTGCTAATGAATGCTATTCTTCCATAAATAATTATTGTATTTGTATCCAATCCAATTGATGTTTCATCACTGTAAATCTATAGTTTTAATCCACATTAAAAGGAAACAATGTAACTCCAGAGAAGAACATTTCTTGCATTTTTGGTAGCTTCGAATGGCACAAAATTAACTGTTCAACAGTTTAAGTAAAAATTCATAACTTCCATTTTCTTGCAATAATCATATTCAAATTGTCATACTTTATCTCTTTATGTAATTCTATAAGTCTTCCAAATATGTATAAAAATATTTTCCAAATCATTAAGAGAATAGGAATGAAATAGGCAGATTTCCTGACGATGAATTCTGTTCACTAATCGTGAGTTAAATTCTTTATATGAAAGTCACATTCATATAAAACGCCCTTATGGCATGGTGCTTAACATATGTTGATGTAGCATTCAAACTATCACAACATCAGATTCACTTCCAGCATCTCTTCTCTTATCTGTGTCTATCGATATCTCCCGATTAACATATAACGATGTATATTTTGTCACACATGCCTAGAAGAATTATCGTCTAAGGTGTAAATATTTAAATATCTTTGCAACAGCAACATGTTCTGATCAAACTCATTATAATTGTCTGTAGATATTCTGTAAAAACAAATACAGTGATTTAACGTCGCGAAACAACTAGTGATCAGACTGATGGCAGGACACACACACACACATGCAGAACAGTCGGTATTATTGTACTAACAACTATAGTACAAAATTAATACAATTACCCTGTTTAATGATATTTTTTAAAATTGTAACTTGTTACATACTGACTGTGTATTTAGCTGTTTTATATCTATAATTAAAATACACATAAAAACTGTCATACCTGTCTATGTAATCCTCTTCACGGAATTTTTCCCTCCTGTCAGGATATTCCCTTTCACGGTACCGTCCTTGCTCAGGATGCCCGCGCCTGAATGTATTATGTACAGTTTATATTTTCTAAATAGTTTATATTATTTCATAAGTGTGAGTTATTATTCAAGATTTTCATCAGCATGCTTTCAAATACTCGTATGTGTAGGATACCTTTCTCGATCCCGATCGCGATCACGATATTCCGGTCTGATATTCTCTTCGTACACACGTCGTTTGGGCCCTTTATCTTCATACTGATTATATCGATGGTTGTAGCCTAAAACAATTTTATATTAATAAACATTTATTCTTCTTGATATTAAAATTATTTCTTAATATTTACAGTGGATTCGCATGTAATGTGGTCTGTATCAGAATACATTTTCCGTACAAAAAGTATTCAAATGTCAGAAGATGATTTAACCATTTTTATTTAATAAGGGAAAGAATAGCAATAAAGATAGCCAACAAGTGACACAGAATACACCTTACATTCTTTATCTGCCAATGTTTGTGTATAAATACTTATAACTTCTACAGTTCTACAAATTGTGTATATAAAATTACAAAGGAAAATTATAAGTACATTATTTAGGTATTGAATAATGTTATTACTTTTTATAACGAATTCTGTAACAAAAACATATTATATACTAGCTTCCACCCGTTACTAAGTACGCGTGGACTTCAGAAGTAAGAAAGCTAATAAAATATACTATTTCAAAAGGCCGTATCCAAATAAAACATCCATCCAAATTTTAAATGAAAACTTCTAGAACAAACATACAGGCAGAAAGGCACAAAGTTTCTAAAAAATATTGTTTTGGTGTCTATTGGTCTTACTAAGAGCTCACACATATTTTTTTCTTAAATATCTATAATATATATCGCCTAGTTACAATTTTATTATAATTGTAAGTATCTACAAAATTATAAATTTAACAAAATGAGTAATTGAATTACCTCTCTGTTCTTCTGCAGGATGATAATGGTCTTCTCTGGGCCTTCTACGATATTCCTCTTGCGGTCGTTGCTCTTCGTATTTATGGCGCCTAAACATAGTTTATTGTATTTTGTATTATAATGTAAAATCTTTATTGTATATCTTTATTTTATTAATACGCAAAATGTTTATTAAAGAAGGATGGATGATAACGAATCGCCACCTACACTACCTATAAACGCTATCGGGGAGTTGGTAGATAAGAATAAAGGCAGACTCATCTTAATTGGTTCATCATCACAAATTCATCACGAATTAACCACAATAATTTCCAGAGAGAATCACATAAAGGTCAAACTGACAGGACATGTTACTAACAATCCCTTCCTCACTGTGTCAAATATCAGTTCGAGTACAGCCGGCGAAGTTGCGAATAAAAATCGAAACTTTGCCTACTTTAAACTTTGATTTGATTGCTGGCATATAATTATTTAATAACTATTATTCTAGACTTAGAAACAATCAAGTAAAAATAAACTCTTTCACAAATATTTGACACAGATCTAAACTAATAAGCTACTGTTGAAATTAACTGATGTTATTTTAAACAGCAGTTTGTTAGTTTAATATTTTTTCACATGTGCTTCCAACCACATCTGCAAGCCCACACCACCATTCAACATATAAAACATTAAATAACATCATGCCCCCTTACTTTGACATGAGTCTACAGAACTAATGATATGTCTCCAATGCCATGGCTTACTACTCCTGTGACATCACATAAAATTTTGAAATAAACGAGTTTTGATAACTAGTAGCATTATAACATACTACTATTCAAGAGTGATTTCAGTTTAAACATACCTACATAGGCTCAAGTCCTACAGTCTATACTTTACTATGTCATTAGTTACAAGTTCTAATTAATCATATTCTACAAGTATATTCATATCTTTATTCTTGAAGCATCACCTTTTCAACCTTTTATATATATATATTAAAAAAATATTCTACAAATATTAAATGTATGTAATATACATATAACAATAAACTCCCAAAGTAATCAAATACCCTTTTACAGCAACTAAACCAAATACACTGCAGCACAATATAAATATAATATTAATGAAGTGCAGATATAAATAATTAGGGAGAGGCTCTTCTTGGTGGATTTCTAGATTGACAATTTAATATTGATGTAGTTCAATTACAAGGATCCAAAAAGAATTATATATTATATATATGATTAAATATCTAGTGTACCCTAAAAACACTACACAACAATACATATCAACCTCTACCTTCTATATTCATCATAGACCTGCTGTCTTCGGCCATGCCCTTCAAAAGTATCATTACAATGCATACTTTGGCCAAATTTCTCTTTAACATACTTTTCTTGATGATATGAGGAATATCTGCAATATTAAATAGCTGCTACTATCGACATAATAAATCATCACAATTTTATAAAGGGCAGAGGTATTATGCACCCTTATACTAAACATTATCTTCCATTAAAGAAACACACTTCCTTTAAAATTATCTACAGCCTAGAGGGAATCTGTCTGCTACTTAATATCTATGGGAAAATTGTTTATTCTATATAGTTTATATTAAAATATATAAAAAAACATCATTTTCTAGATTAGATTCCTACCTGTCATTTCGATCTCGTTCATACTGTTCCTGATAGTGTCTGCGCTCTTTACTAGACCCACGATAAAATCTCTGCATTTCACGCTCTCTGTCATAATCATCACCTGATGCTGAACGACGGCACTCCTTCCTGGCAATTGAGATATGGAACATGTATAACTATATAACTTGTGTTGCACATTATTTTTTACAATATGTAGATATATATCATAAAAAATAATGCTTAATGAAGAAACAATTATTTCTTACATTCTTGAGCACAAGCCACCCTATAAGAATAACTAATATACAGTCCTGACTTTCTATAACATATGTAGTATGAGATTTTTAGGAAACTATTTGTGATGTGGAGGATCTACTCACCCCATATACTTTGAGCTGTCAATATAGTGTAGTTGAATAATAAATAACATCAATAAAATGCAGGTACAATAAGATCAGATAGTGACAGCAAACAGTGTGTTTGGAGAGGTGGAATAAAGAAAGTTATGATGTGGTTTAAGCTGACCTAATTGAGTTTTGTTATTATTATACTAGTGAACAAAAACAGTATTTAAATATTATCGACATTAGTAAATCAGTGTTAAATGAGTTCTCCAATCTTAAATTATTTCAAATGATTACATACTGAAGGGGTAAGTTCAGACATACAAATTGATATACCTAATTAACGGTTACATGAAACACATGATATCACAGTTAATAACAATGTGTCTTCGTTATTGTAGCCTGAGGAAATGTCCTTGATTGAATCCTGAAGTTACACATTAAATATCCCTGAGGATAGCCGTGGTTTGGTTTTGGCAGAGTTCTACAAGCAACATAAAAACTCTCCTGGCGGCCAAAATTAGTTTTAGTCCAATATAGGCTTAAGTTGTGTTTTAATTTACAAATATCAGGCAGTTCATCTATTATATCTATTTAAACTGGTAAATGTTCCTTTTATTTGCAAGATAACCTGTAACAGTACCTCCCTGTAGTAGAGATGATGAAAACAGATGAGCACAACTAATAATTGCGATTAAGGGAATGAGTAGGTAGTGACTATCCAAATATTTGAATTTTAATACATATATCTATAGAAACTTACTGATAATATGTGCGTGAAGGTTGACTGCCATCTTCAGAAGACGCTCTGCGTTCTACAACACTATGTAATCGACGCTCTACTCGCCATTCGTCTGTAAAAATGAAACTTATCTTAAACACCATTGATATAAAAAAAGAAACCTGTAAAGCACGAATATTTACTGATGTACCTGGGTCGCTTAAGGATATACTTCGTGCGCGTTTGTGTTTGTGCTTATGTTTCCGTTTCTTTTTCGAAGAAATCTCACCATCGCTTACGGAAGACGCGTCTTCTCCCGACATACTTTCTTCAATAGAGTGTCGTCGCTTTTTCTTTCCATGTTTCTTCTTCTTTTTCTTGTGTTTACGTTTTTTAACACGCTTTTGATCATCAGAATCACTTTCTGAATCGGAGGAATCAGCACGTTTTCTTTTTTTTTTGTACCGGTGGTGTTCCGATGAAGATGATTCTTCACTATCACTTTCAGATGTACTAGTAGACTTCTCACTTGCATCTGATTGTTCTGAATCCTCGGAAGATGTTTGATGTCGTTTTTTAGATTTCATCTTGATTTTATCACTACGTTTAATTAGAAATTAAGAAATAATACTCAACAAAAATGACGTATAAAGAAGCGTCGTACGAGTAACAGAGTCCATAAACAATAGAGTACGTGATTAGTGTTTTCTATGATAGCTTTACGGCTTTGGATGATTTCTTTTAGCTCACTGAATTTTGTCTAGTGATGTGCCTAATAATTACGTAGTATTGTAAAAAAAAGGTTATTCTTATAAGAGATCTATAACCGATTACAAATATAATATACAAATATTATCAACTAATTTCGCTTAGTTTAAGAATATATTAACGTTATTTCTAAGTAATAATTTCCAGTGAAAAATCCTCTTTTCTCGAACAAAATTAGAATTTTTCAAGAAACGGAAATTTAATATTATTTGTAATATAGACTCAATTCTAAGGAGCTATTTTTTAAATCTTGTCATTTTTCATTAAATATCTACTAGTAAGACTGATTGATTTACTGTTATACTAAATAATTTTCATAAAAATGCACATATTTTATATCATATTACAATAATTCAGAATAGAACAATTTAATAATTGTTTACTTAATAATTATTAATTTATAATAATTATGACATAAATCTATTAGAACTTTATTGATTCTTAGAATTTAAATTTTCCTGTCATGCGTGATGATGACATAATGAAATTTAAATTTCAGAGATAGATTTAGAGAGTGAGCATCAGCCCATTCTAACTAATTCATTACTTGAATAATTAGTATGAACTAATTCTATACTTTGACTGCAAAATTAATTAGCTAATTAGTAATCATATAGAATAACTAAAACAAAGTTCTTTCCCCATGTTTATTATTACTACACCACTACCTTAGCAGTCGGTGATAATAAGTAAGACCAAAACCCATACAACTACATTTACTTCCAGTATATATAATAAAGAGCATCGATCAACTACATCATATCCACTACACATAATAATTGATTTTTAGTAATTTACTTTCTTACTTTAATTATAACTATCAAAAATTTTAATTTCTAATAATTATTCATTGGAAACACTTGCCCATTAGCAAAAATAGATATTCAAGCAAACGAGTCGACTCGACTATATTCGTACCGACTCGTGTTCTAACAACTACAAATGAATAATTAGCTATTATAATGAATTATTTTAGCAGTCAAAAGTAATTAGTAGATGGAAAACATTAGTAAGCAGTTGAAATTAGTAGTTGAAAATCAAATGAGTTATCGGAATGAATTCCTCAATCGTAATTAGTATTCGGATTAGTAAAATCGCGCATCGCTACTTCTTAGTTCTTACTAATGTTTGATTTGAAAGTTTGACTGACAGTGATTATTTCAACATCAGCAAATTTTCAATCATTCCAGCTGTTCGGCTTTATCATCCGGTTAATTTATAACAAAAACATTTGTTTGACTTTTTTTTCTTTTGATTTGACTTGATTGTGGCATTCTTTCAGTAGTCGTCGTCGAATCAGCCGCAATTCATTTTGTTTTCAGATCAACAAGTATTATATTTTATCCTGTTTGTAGTAACATTATAAAACTACTGTTCCAAATGATTCTAATTTCTATATTAAATTAAAGTTTAGAAACTGAACTCAATTCGTTTATTTAAAAAAAAATCTTTTAGACAGTGGCTATCCATTGTTGATTAATTTTATTGGATTATTACAAAAAACTATAAAATCATGGCTACACGAAAGAGAAGTGGTTCGGGATCTAAAAGACATTTGAAGGAAAAAGTTGTGCAAATATATGAGTCCTTTTTTAGAGGCGAAGATTTAACGAGTGATAATCCAACATTTTGGGATGAGTTTTTCTTGTTGAAACCAAAAATTCCACAGCTGGAAGCTGAGATACATAAACTATCAGTAGAGCAACTATTGAACATGAAAGAAAGCATAAATTTGCTTGTAACACAATGCATAGAAATGTTAGGACAAGAACACCACATAAGGTACTCTTCATTCTTCTGCTTTCATGATCCTGATAAATCTTCTTCAATTATGAATGGGAACTCACATGATCTGTATAAATGGAATTTTAAATGCAATTCTAACGAATTTATGTTTTCTTATGAGTAACCGCTCTTAATAACAATAACAGCCTTAATCACATGTTATGTACATTTATAATATTTAGAAAGTTACTGTTATGTTTGTTTTCTTGTTAACCTATCCCTGCTCCCTCATAATGATCCCTATAATACTAATGATTCAAATTCACACACTGTATATCTATAAATATAAACCTAATGGTATTGTAAAAATATTTCTTATGTTTGTATAAGTCATTTTGGATGATAGTATGCACTGAATAATAAAGTATTATTGAACTTTTTTCTCTCCTTTAATTATAGGGATTTAGATTGCATGCTATAAAGAGGTGCAATTTTTTATATACAAGCTAGTATCTATTCTTTCAGTCTGCAATAACTTGTTTATGATGTTTTTTTTTTCAGGTTGGTGTATGCTTTGCAAACATTAAGTGCTCTCATGATTACAATGTACCAAAGAACAACTCAAGACAACAATTTAAATGTTAAAGTGGTTTTAATTGGAACTGAGAATGCAGATGTCAAAATGCAAAAATTATTTGAACACTGCAGTACTATGCTATCTGGTTAGTATTTACGTGTCTGTAGTAATTAATTTTATTAATTTACATAACATTAACTTTACTGAAATAATTTATTTCACAGGTGATGTTCCAGATAGTTTAAAATCTATGGTTATAAAGCTTCTGCTTGTAATAGCAACAGGAATTGATAATATAGATGATAATCCTCTTGTGGAGTATTTAATGCTAAATTCACTATTTGAACCTTTAATACAGTTGCTGTGCACATCAACTGAACGACAACAACATGGTAATATATACTATAATTTATTATTCATGTTTATGAATTATTGTAATCATGAAGCTTGGCACATATCTACATAAAAATTATTTTATCGCTAATCAAAATATTAATCAGGCAATAACACACACACACACATTAAAACTGCTACTGACATTTTGAAATTTGGAAAGTTACATATTTAAAAACTTAAAAAATTCGGTAATTATGAAATTTTATATTATAAAATAGTTATCAACTTTAAATAATTAAAAAAAATAATTAATATAAAAAAAATATTTTTGTGTTTAACAAGTAGCAATTTATTCAATAATCATTCAAAAATATTGTTTATTTTTTTAAATTATAACACTAAATCATTGTCTGTAGAAATTAGAAATAACCACACTACCATAATTTAAATTTTATATTTTCAGGCTATGATGTTGTTATGCTTTTGATGTTCCTGGTAAACTACAAAAAAGAAGAGTCAGCTAATCCATATATTGTAAAGTTATCAATACTTGATGATGAATTAGCTTTAAATGGGTAAGATGTAACACCAGAGTATAATTGATTATTTTTACGCCATTTCAAATACCAAATGAGTTGATGACCTATATTATTATTCTTAAGATCTGAGAATTTACAATGAATTAAAATATGTCATGCAAGTATAGTTTTACTGTAACAGAATTAAGAGTTTGATAGATGCATCCATATAGACAGCTTTTTATTGTGTTATCTATTTTCTTTTTTAATTCTTCTTTCCATAATAATGGAAATTTCCATCATAACATTGAATGCCCAAAAATTTTATAAAAGGACAAGTTCACTCTAAGTTGATTGTGTCTGGTTACCTTTTTAATGTCCGTTACAGAAAAAAAAACATAGCTGTCAAATTTATTTTTTTAACCATTTTTCCTTTAATTTTGAACATGAATTATATCACCTTGATTTATTTCACCAATAAAAAAAAAAACATGCAAAGAATGGTTAATATTTATTTCTTAAAAATAAAAATATGAGAACATACTATACTTAAATTTATTATTTCTCTTAAGGTTAATTCTCATTTTTTAATTGTTTTGATGTTGATAGATATGGTCAAGTGATTACAGCAGCTTTGAATGATTTTGTCATGTCAACATTTGGTGGTATGCAAGGTGGGAGTGGGGGTGGTGGTTGGCTTTCCTCTCTTACAAGCATGGTGGGTGGGATATTTCTGACAAGTGATGATACTCAACCAGTTGTGAGAGGACAGAGAAACAGGTAAATATGAATGAAATTGTATATCAAAACAATGTGAATACTAGTATATACTTGTTTTAGTATTATTGTAGTTCATAGTTAGATCGCAAATTCTTTAATACTTTATATGTTGACAAAGTAAGAATACGATATGTTGTCATTTCATTCTCAAGATGTCATAAGAGGCAATTAAGGGAATAAAGTACAAAACAACAGTGTAAGAGGATGAAACCTTAAACTTCTATACCAATCCACTCTATTTAAGTATACTAGACTACCTAACTCTATTGTGACAAACCTGTGCCCAGTAGTAAGGCATTCATATGTGGCGATGATGATGATGAGTTTAGATTAGTTAATTAAGGGAGTAAAAAATAATTTCCCAGTTATTTTGCGAGTAAAATAATAATTCAAAATTCTTATATGAAAGAATTTCTTAATAAAGGACTTGTTAATAATAATACTGCAAAAAGAAAAAATCAAAAGTTAAATTAAAAATGTGAATAACTTTTTACAAATAAATATCCCATATGTACAAGGAAACACATAATCCCCTACTAGATGTACCAATAAACTCAAATGTTAAACATTTGCTAATTTGTATAGAGATATTATTAAAATATAAAAATCATATCCCAGTAATTATTGAGTGATTGAATAATTTTGAATTTTGAAGTTTAAATGTACTACAGGGAGTCAGCTGGTAGTTCTGGACCATTCCTTGTATATAGAGAAAGTCCAAGTTCAGCAGTGAACAATGAATGGTTGAAATGATGAATACATATTTTGATATTGCTTCGAGAACTAAATATATACTGATAGTATTCATACTGTTGTTACAAGTGGGGGTGAAGAAGGCATGTTGTTAGCCTTGTATGAGGCGGCTCACCTAAATCGTAATTTTATGACTACGTTGGCACACTCTTCGGCCGCTGCGTCCTCCGCGCCACCCTCACCACCCGCCACGTTGCCACCGCACCAGGTATGTAAACCTGATGTACATAAAACCGCTTTTTGTGTCTTGCTACCTATCATGCCTCAACAAATACTTACATGTCAAAATATTGAACCAAATTGAAGAGAATTGATCTGTTACAGCTGAACAGATAATCTTATAATAGTATTTTTAAATAATTAATCAATATAATCATATATTAATTAAAATCTGTATTTCAGAATCCTCCAAATCTAACGCAAATACAAGCACTGGACAATGAACAACCTACTAATCTATTAGTGACGTTCTTCCAATATTGGTTAGTCCAACAATAAATTAAGTACTTCTATATATGTGTTAATATAACTATATATTGATTTTTTTTTTTATTGCAGTTCCATAGTGATGGCTGACACGAGAAGCGAAGCCAGCATCAACAAATGCAGTTTATGTTTTATAACTTTAACATGCATAGTGGAAGAACAATTTGCTAATTCTATTATGCATGATCAAAATCTTACTTTTAAGGTTATTTTTTATACTTAATACAGTAATTAAAAATACATTTATTACTAGTAATAGATTGTATTAAAACATTTATTAATTTTATTACAGGTTCAATTATATAGGTTGCCAATGCGTCATAGAAAAATAGTTCCCGAGGAACCGCCTTCGCAGCCTTTAGCTTCTACTTTAATAGGTATTCTAAATATTAAAATTTAATACTTAATAATAATCACTATGCTGGTAGTAATTGTTATAGAAATTATTAAAAAAAAAAAAACATTAAATGACGCCATGTATAATCGTGAACAACTTTGAGGTGTTTACCAGATACCGCTTCTCTTCAGGTGGACTATCACTTTGTTTATTATTCGTGCAAAAAAAAATCAAACATACAATAAATCATACAATTTACAATAATAATAATTATCCTTGGACATATTACACCGCGCCGTCTAGTCCCAAAATAAGCAGAATTAGTCCTACATATTTTTTTTTATGGATGATAATGGTAACCCCGCCCGTGTTAACGGTAGACGCAGGCGGGTCACCAGTGAGGGATGATAGGTGAGTATGAAAAGGCAGGTCAGTTAGCCCACCGTAATGAATACACCTGGAATTCAGCACGATGGTTTCCAGGGGGGACCACGTGGAGGTCGACCTCACAGGGTATATTGCTAACAATGTGACTTGTAGTCCGCATTACTAACAATCCCCTATCTATTCTACATATTAGTAAGGCTTTTACAAAATATTGTTGGTGGCAGATCTACTAGTGGAATTCACGATGTGCCACCTGCTGAAGAAGTTCCCTGGGGAGCTGTATTCGCTGTGTCTGGGTGTACTGGTGAGGCTGCTCAGCTACCAGAAGAGAGCGCGCGTGCGGCTGGCGCGTGACTGGCGCCCTCTGTGGGCGGCGCTCATCGCGCTTCTCAAGTTCCTCGTCGCCAATGACACCGCGTTGTTGCGCCGACACAACATCTTCCTAATGGCACAGCAGGTAACCTAACCACTGTACATAATTCTTCACCAGTTCAAAGTAGATCGTACGTGTTGAGGTGTAGCATCATTGCTACTTGTAATACTCAGGTCGATCTCTACGCAGTCCATCCGGGAACCATCATGGTTGATGTCTAATGAATTTACTATAATCGGCCAATTGGCCCATTATGGTAAGAATTAGTAGCAGTAGCCCGTTTAAAGGTGAAGTCATACCTTAATGTGTATTCATATGAATTGGTTATTTACTTTAGCCAATTAAGAGACATTTCTAACATAATCTCTATATTAATTAATATGCAACTAAATTTAACATAATTTTTAAAAACTATTTATATTCCAGGTCGTAAATATATTCAACATTTTCATTACGTTTGGTGATACGTTTTTACCAACACCAGCGTCTTATGATCAGCTATATTACGAACTTATCAGAATGCATCAAGTATTTGATAACCTTTTCTATATGGGTAAGTAGGTATTATGTAAACTTATAACTGTACAATGGATATAAATTTTAATTAGCTCAGCTGTATAATTTCTTGTTTAACTGATATTTGATAAATCTTTTTCCACCCGATAATCACATATTATAATCCCATATTATCACGATTGAAGTTTTTGGGGATCATTTTTATTTGTACTGTACTGTAATCAATCATTTTTTTTTCTACAAATTTCAGCGTTACGATATTCTACGGGAGACGGTGAATTCAAGGCTGAAGCACTACGTCTGGCAAATTGTTTAGTTAATGTTCGTGCAATAATTCAACATTTTTCGCCTAAAATTGAATCGTGGTTGGCTTCACAAAACCTTTCCACGCCTACTGAGGATCAGGTTAGAACAAGCAACATTTTCTTTTTTGTTTATTTGGTACATTGTTTTTCTTTTATTTTCAAATAATACAAATAATTTGTTTAATTAGTCTGTAATTAGTCATTATCAATTATAATTAAGGGGGACCGCCATGGATTCCAAAAAATTTGATGACTATAATGCAAATTTTACCATAATATACCCAAGTTAACTGTAAGTTAACTTTTGATGTAACCAGCTACAAACTAAATAGATGAAAGTCAGCAGTCGATATTGCATTATTATGTATTATGTATAATATCCATAGTACTCCCAGTTTTTTGTTGTTCCTTAGGACAAATGTCTAATTAATAGGTTAAGTATGCAGAGAATGCGTTGTCTGTGATACGTCACAACATGATATATAGTGGATTCGTGATTATCATCTTTTAAATGGGTTTTGAATATCGCTTTTTGACAAGCGATAGCTGACTACAATAGCTCTTTTTCTGTAGTGGTTCATACTGAGCTTTAAATAACTCGACACTGTTGCAGATCTTGGAAGTGGTGCGCAAGAACTACGACAGCCTGATCCTGAAGCTGCAGGAGGGTCTGGAGGGCTACGAGCGGTACAGCGAGCGGCAGCACCGCGAGCTGGTGGCGCGGGAGGCGCGCGGCGCGGCGGCGGCGGCTCGCGCGCGCGGGCCCCGCCTGCACGCCGCCGCCTGCGCCGCCGCCACCGCGCTCTCGCACTACTCCGCCATCGCCTGAGGCCCGCGCGTCCCCACGCTACCCCACGTCCGCCGCAGGTATATCGCACTCACCCACTTACACGCTCATCCGACGGATCCGATACAAGAGGCGAGACCAAAGATTTATCACGCTCGTGTGCCTGTAATGTACGTGTGAACACCGGGTAGTTCTTCATTTGCAAGGACGCCAAGTAAAAAGCGAGGTGCTCGGCGACGCGTTCCTAAGGTGACTGGCTGTATGCTATCGCTACCGCGCTCTCCCATTAATCCGCCATCGCCTGTGACTGGTACCATACGTCTATTAGGTGTAACTTAGTCGCCTGCTTAATTACGTTGGAAATTCCATGCAAAAGGCGAGACCAAAAAGCAATCGCAATAGTGTGCCTGTAATGTAGAAAATGTAACCATAGGATTGTTCTAGTAACAAAAAATAAATAATTATTTAATTTCATATTTGTTATGAAGTGCATTTTTTATGATTGTTTATATTATAGTTATAATTTTTATACCTGTGCGATTCAAAATGTTTGTGTATTTACTTGTTACCTATTTTATGTCGTTAATCTGGCATATCTATTTTTAGTTTTTTCACCCTCTTTTATATAAATTAAACATTATTCATCTTCGTTACCTACTAAATCTAAGTGACTAGTATCAGTAGATAATTTATGCTATTATTTATCTTTATAAATAAGTAAATTTTAATTATATTTTTATATTCGACTATGTAACTTTAATATCTAAATTACTTTCGCGAGATCTAATTTATATATTGTATATATAATAGCACGAGTTTGTGAAAATAATAAATTATGTTACGAAATATATGATCGAGAGGCAGGTAGGTGCAGACACGTTTGCAGACTAAATTTTAGTTTTATATACCTATATCAATTGATATAATAATAATTGTGATGATTAACCATTTGAATTTATATTTATAATTTTCAATCATATAAAAAGTATTATTATTAAAGTTATTGTCATATATAATATGATACAACTTTGCCCGCGTGACTAGGATACGCCGATAATTTAGAATGAATAGTGACCTGTATATCTTTCTCAATCACATATCGTCATAGTCGTAGAATACTGACGGGTCTGACAAAGATTATGTATAAAGATCCGTCAGTATTCTACGACTATGACGATATAATACGTAGTACGTGTCTACGTGTATAACAAATTTTATAACGATTGGTTGAGGCATTATGGCGCTAATTATATATTATTAGTACAATATTTATCAAATCGAAATTTTAAAAAATATATTATAAATTGAATATCAAAAAATTATTGCCCCTGTATCTGAGTGGAGAATAATGGAACCAACTTATGTCACGTAAACTGCATAAATTTGAACTAATAAAAAAGGTGTCAAAAACATATATCAAAAAGAATATGAAAATAATATAAATATACAAATATGTACATAAAAAAGGTCGACTGGCCAATTTGTCATCAACAACCTGGTTTAATAATTTTTAAAGCCTATTTGGTCCAAAAATGAGAGGTTTTTCCGCCTCTAAATAAACATTGGCGTATTTATTTTACAGGAGAGTCTTGGCCCCTTAAAAATGGTGGATATGTACACTAAAACATGTTTTTATTATGCTTTGCTTGCATCCTGGGATGTGCACCAGGTGGTTCTAGGACAGGCACGGCTAACCCAACCGCCGCCACCCACCTCCCTCTCTAAATATGCCTATACAAATAAATATTTGTGTAATCTTAAGTATTTTCCGTATGCTTTGCAATACAATTTATTTATATAAATATGGTAATTGTGAAATAGTTTGGAATTTATATGTAAACAAAAACGCAAAAACGGTTGCAAGTACATTTGTTTTTTGTATAATATCAAAATCGTTACTGATAGCATTAACTAGCTATGATATTTTATATGAAGAACCACGTGATAACGTTTAAGATTAATTATTTCATCGTCATATAATGGTGCAAAACATGTTCTACTCTTGGTTTACCACCAACCAGTGTACTGTTTTTTTAAACTGAATTTTTTACTAGTATTGTAATGGCAAAACCATATCATTTAAATCATTTAATAGCTGGCTATTTAATGATTTTACATTTATCAATATCTGAACTATCTATTAATCTCTGAAGATTGCCACTAAATAATGGTCTCATGTCTTTTAACCGCATATATATATATATATATATAGTCATTAGCGCCGGCTGTATCAGATTTATGTATAAGATATCAAGTCTGAGCTCTATAAGCTACAATCAATAATACTATGAATCCCTCTTCCTTCTCCTCTCTTACTTATTAATCTATACTTATAATAAATCTGTAGAGAGGTCAATTCTGTACATGAAATATATTTCCAAAATAACTATCGGGGGGTGATTAGTGATCGATACTGATGCCAAAAATGCAATCAGTAAAATTTTTGTTTGTCTGTATGTTCGTTATAGAAACAAAAACTACTCGACGGATTTTAATGAAACTTGGTACAATTATTCTTCATACTCCTGAGTAGGTTATAGTATACTTTTCATCACGCTATGATCAATATGAGCAGAGCAGTGAAGGGAAATGTTGGGAAAACGGGAGAAGTTACTCCATTTTTAAGCTTCCGTCGCGTGTGCAGCCACGTTAACGGCCACTTTTTAAAATGTAAAAATATCCACCTGTGCGACGCCGGGACGACCCGCTAAAGTTTTTTTTTTTTTTTATACCACTGAGGTGGCAAACAAGCATACGGCCCACCTGATGGTAAGCAGTTACCGTAGCCTATGAACGCCTGCAATACCAGAGGCATTATGCGCGCATTGCCGACCCTGAAGAAACCTCTTTACCCCCCTTTTGAAGAACCCCATGCTGTAGTCTCTTGGGAAAACCTCGGCAGGGAGCTCATTTCCATAACCTGAGTGTTCGTGGGAGAAAACATCTCTGAAACCGCGTAAGTCTGTTCGATTGCTAATCAATGTATAAAACTTTTATAATGTATATTTTAGGATGTAAAAATTTAGTCATGCATAAGCAGCGTGATTTTTATAAGTAAGGAGATAAGGGATATATTATATTATGTAGTTACAAGACTATACTATATGTAGTTATGTGCACTTCCATTTGAACTGTTATAATATATAAAATGTTTTCCAAAGAAAGCTAATGTGGCATTGTTTTTTTAATATTTTTAAAATATTTAATATGAAGCCACAAAAATCGATTAAATACTTATATGTTATGGTAACAATCACTTAAACCAGTTTGTAAATTAGCTTAACTATAGATAATAAATTATTTTTGTCTAAATAAAATGATATTTATTTTAATTATGTAACCACAAATTAATTTCCTTGTATTATACGGGCCTTTTTATAATTTACACTGACACAGGATAAAATCCTGTGTAATTACGTTACGATATCGCAATATAATCAGAGAAGAAAATATATGCAGATACTTTATATTTTTATACACTATGGTAGTAGATATAGTAGTGGATCGTTCAAAATTTGCATTTTATTCTTCAGTTATATACTAGCATCTAATTATGCTAAAATATATCATACTTTTTATAAAAATACAGTAATAATACTGTACCATATGGTCTAATGATTAAGACAAAAAGTGATCACACGAATTCGTGAATATATGTACTATGAATCAGTCATATTTGGCTCGTTTTACCTTGTTTTATCGTCGAATGTTAAAAAAAACTAACTCTGTATGGTACCTAGAGTGAAATGATAAAGCCTCTGTATATGCTGGCGGGAGGGCCAGTAATTAGATAGCTGGGGATAAAAATAGGTCATCGTGAATTTACCGAGAATTAACCGTGATGGTTTTTAAGAGGTCTACCTGATTATACCAAGACTGGCCTTTGCGCGGTTTCCCCAAAAAAACATATTGTTTTTTTTAATAATAATGGAATGGTAACTCCGCTGGTTACTGCATTATCATCAATGAAAAAAAAACTTTATAATCTAACCTAGCAATAGGGCTACTAGTCCCCTTTTTTATTATTAAGGAGGCTATCTAGTAGACGTATAGTGGCTACCGTCACCCATGAACATAATAATCCCTAATAATCTCTTTCCCTCTGAGGCCAGTATTGCTGAGTATTCAAACTGGTGTTATTTTTGTAATTTATACATATTATGAAAATTGGTTGAGGATTAATGGAAATTAAAAAGTATATACTTACATTTGCATTATTTATTTGGCAAATTCATTTAAAACATATATCTATACAGTAACAACGGTAATATAAACTATGACTAGATAATATTTTATTAGACTAGAAAATTCTTTGGAATGCATCGAGATATAAGAGATTTCTTACATAAAATTTAATATATTAGAACTAACATATTAATACCACAGTTAATACTATAAAAAATAATTTACGTCTTGGACACTCGTATCTAGCGAGAAAAAACTTATTAAGTATGTATGAAAATCATTCTGCAGTTTCATTATCGATCTTGATCCGATCGAATTTGTTTTCATATGCAATGAAATTATAAGGGTCTGTTATTTGCAAATAGAACCGTCCGAAAGCTATTTACTTCGAAATTTGAGTTTTGTGCATTATATTAAGTAGTCGGTTTTAACTCAGCCAGTGCTTCTCTAACCAACTCTTCCAATTCATGTGGTAAAATAGTCTTAGAATTTCTACTGACGCCACTAAATTGACATTTATTTTCATCATCATTACATCTGGTATCTGATGATTCTTCACTATCCTTATTCAATTCATCATCGCCATCAGAATTACTATGTATATCTTTAGAATTGTCAATATTATCCTGTGATTTTGAGTGCTTGTGTTTATCTTCATCTGATTTTACGGAGCCTGTATCAGGGACAAACTCTTCTAATAGCATTTGTGATGGAAATATTGGAATATATTTTTCACCATTACACCAACTTTCTAATGTTTTTTCTAACTCTGTTATTCGATTTGCAAGAATCCTGCAAAAGATTACATTATATTATTATTAGATTATCTTATTGTTATTTACTCGTATACCTTAAAATAGGCTGAAGTGGCCTTTAAAATTTATTGAATAGCTTAAGTTCAGACAAACAGTTTAAGAAAAAAAAAAAAATGTTTAGTTAAATAATTTTAAAATAAATATGCTCACGACTTTAATTCCTATCAAGATAAATATATTCGTCTACTATTGTCAACAATTGTTTACAACACAAAATGTATATACATACTGGTTAGTTTTTCTCTGGTGCTGTAAGGCTATGGATTTATCATTTAATGCTTCAAATAGACCAAGACACAGTGATTTTAATTCTGCTGCAGAGCTTCTTTTTAACCCAGTCTTGCTGTTAATGTCAAGAAATTCACGGACTGAAAAAAATATATACAAATTTATTAGTACAAATTCAGGTATTACAACTAATAATTAAATTCTTATTCAAATTCAATGATAAAAACTGAGCAACATTCTGTTCCTTTTTTCTCTACCTGTGGTGTAGCTCCGGCAACTGATAAGTCTGTAATCAGCTCAATAGTTCTCTTTACATATCATATAAAAGCCCTGAGGCGAAGATGTATTTGTAGTAAGGTATTGTTAGTAATGGGAATAAACAGTCCCATTGCTGAACTCCTTTAATCTTCCTCGGAAACCATCATGAATTTGTTATGATGGGATTACTGATTTTACTTTATTCACAACTATCATTATTCACTGGTACCTGGGGTCTGCATTTACCAAACATCATAAAAAAATATCAAACTTAACTATTTTTTAATATTATAATAATTTATCAAATTATTTCCAACCTTGTTTTTGAGTCATTACATCAGCAAATCCCTTTTTTAAATTGAGAGAATCGTTTTTATTTCTGTTGTCTAATAATGTCTGAAATAAAAATGATAACTTTATCAAATTAACTTCCTCTGCAACATGTAATAATAACAAATAATGTTAAATAGTTATATTCATACAAAATAACCTTGTATTTAGTTAATGTACGCTTAATAATTTCTTTCTCAACTTGCAGCTGTGTTATTCTTTCATGTAGGTATTTATTTTCAGTGACTAAAGCATCAATATCTATAATGGGCTTTGGTGGATCTATTTCTCTATCAGATTGCGCTTTCACTCTGTTGGATAATATGTAGCTAATCTGTTGGTTCAAACGTTGCACTTTATTTTTATAATAATCCCTGTCTGACACCAATTCTTCCTTTTCATCTAAAGTAGCTCGGTAATCCAATTGTAATTGTTGATACTGTGCACAAAAAAATAAATCATTGGTATAACCTAATTTAAATAACTTATACACTGCTATGATTTTCATTTACTTCTAAAGGGATTAAAAAAATTAAACAATTGTGTAAATGTGATTAATGTTTTTAATTAACAAGCATGAGTCACATATTTTATAAAATGAGTATCTATGTAATTATTTCATGTTTTTATTACTTCCCACATTTACCAACATTAGAACATTAGATATTTACTAAACACTAAATACAATGGCTTGTTTTGAATTTATAAGTTATAATAATGTAGACAAAAATGTAGTGTAAAACTAGGATTATCAGAATACAAAAAAGTGTCAGAGATATAACAAAAGGCTTACCTTCTTTTTAACTTTTTCCAATTCTTGTACAAGTTTCTCATAATCTTTATATGAATAAGCAGTAGACATTTTTTTATTTTCATTATATTCTTCTAATATTGATTCTTTTTTCTGTAGTTGTTTTCTCAAAGCTACTATGTCACCTGTTGCTTCTTCCAGTTTACTACGTAACATTTCCACCTATTATATAAATGTTACTTTTTAACCAACTTCAACAAAGGAGGAGGTTATATGTTCCACTGTATATTTTTTATATGTTAATATATAAAACAATTGTTACTTTATTATTATTATATCAGTCATTTATTGTCTGCTGCTGAGTAAAGGCCTTGATGTAGTAATATTTTAATTTAACACATTTTAATTAATCAGAATAAAAGTATATATAAGCTATATATTAGTATCATATTTATAATATGAAAAATACAATCAGGAATTCAATATGTTTATAAATTAAATATACCATACCTCCAATTTGAGCATATTGTTGTGATCACGTGTTTTGGCTAACATATCACCTCCACTTATAGTATTTGTAGGAGTGAATCTGTATACATTGTCACTACATTCATTGTGGCTTACAATGAGTTTCTTACACTTAAGTTGTTCAACAAGTACTTTATATCTATCTCTTTCCATGCTACATTTATCAAGTTCTTTGCTCATTATCAAGAGAGCATCTATTTTACTTTGAAGTTTACTCTTTAAGACAGAGTTCTGAAATGTTAAAAATAAAAAATTAAGGTTCACTCTTCTATATAACTGCTAAACATCAATATATTATTAAAAGTAGTTTTTAATATATCTAGCAGAATATAACCTGTTTTAGCTCTAATGATATCATGTCTCGTATTAGGCAAAGCATAGTCAGTTGACAACCAGGGACACCAAGGTCTAAGAGGGGACTGGATCATTGACAAGCGTAAATTAAATTTTAAAGTTAGTAGTATTGTCAGGAGAAATTATCCTGAAAATCACCCATGGATACCAAGTAGTCTGTGACAAAGTCTATCTTTCATATATTACTTCATGCATGAATCACCAACATTGGGGCCTATTTTAATAACTGGATGACCTCCATTGTAAAGATTTTTCTTGTAACAGAACTTTCTTGACATTTTATATCTTTAAAGCATGAAGCAAGTAACAATGTTATTATTTACATATTTCAGAATGCAAATCTGAATTAGAGAAATTCAGTGTATGTAATAATAGGAAATTTACAAAAACAAAATTGTTTGTCAATTGTAATAAATATAGAATTTATTATTGCAGCCAGTTAATAATATAATACTCACCTCTAAAACATAGTCATCTAATTGTTGATCTTGAAATTTCACTTTACTTGTAGGAGTTTTAGTAAACATATCTACAGACTATTATTAATGCAGAAATATTACATTAACCTGAACGTGACCTGCACTTTTGAATTTATCTACTTTATGTTCTGTAAATAAAAGATACTAATCTGGTATTTATATGTGAATCTTTGCTCAAAATGCTAAACAACTTATGGTTTTTTTTTAATGAATGATAATGGAATAATAACCCCGCCTGCGCTAACGGTAGGTATACACTGGCGTGACACCAGTGAGGGATGATAGATGAGGATGAAAAGGCAGGTCAGTTAGCCCATTGTGATGAATACAGCACGATGGTTTCCAGAGGGTTCAACGGGGAGGACGACCTGTTAGGGTATATTGTTAGCAATGGGACTGATAAGCCGCATTACTAACAATCCCCTCCCCCCCCCCCATCAAATTATGGGTTCAACGTAATATTTGATTGTGAGAAAATATAAAAATTATTATTAGATAGATTGTAAATCTAACAAAAAGGACTTTGCACTCCAAATAGATTAATAGTCTCAATAATATTTTTTTATTCTATAAAAACAAATATTTTGCATACTAAAACTACACTAAAACACTATAAACACAGATTAGACATTATAAAGTAAAAGCTGTCAAAATGTCAGCTGTAGTTGTCAGATATGATGTAATTACTTATTCTTAAGATATAATAATAAAAAGCTCTGTAATGCGCAGAATGTAGAATAGCAAAATCTTTGGTAAAAACCAAAAACATACAATCATTTTATGTATTAAGTACAGCCCTAAGAACAAGGAATTTTTCAATAACAAATTGTATATTACTAGATTATATATTCGACATATTTATTCAAAAAGTATGCAAGCAGGTTGTATTTAAATAACATAATCATAGACTATCTAATTATTAAAAATAGCAACTAATTGTATCTTTCGTCCTCTTTTACTAATTATTTTAGCATAAGAAAAAAAGAAGCAACTATATGATTTGCAGTTTTAATTTTATCACCGCGTTCTTAGGTACTACTCTAAGAATAAGGATTCAAAATCTTTAGTACTCTTAAGTCTATGATGTAAAGAGTATGTAAAAAGTAGCATTACCACAAATTAAAGAGTAATACCCAATATAAAAAACTAATTTACATTTTTAGTACAATTCTCTACCCATGTATTTAGACTGCCTACCTATACATTTGTTTAGCGTCTTGTTTAGTTCTTAGTAGGTATTATCTACCTATTTATAACTGTCATTCAAATGTATGTCATTCATTCAATCTTGTCATTGTGAGTTGTGATTGTTACGTTAGGTAGTGTGGTGTAAGATTTTTTTGTACTATTCAATTTCATCTCTTTGTGTTTTGCAGATGTTGATGTTAAATACATTGCCATTTCAACTTTATATCGTGAATAATTTTAATGCCATGTGTTTCGGACAAAATCAAAGAAGTAGGTTTCGTTCATCTTAACATTCAACTACAATGGCTGCGTCTACTACTGAAATCGAGGATTTCTTATGCGGGCCCCTAGTTTCGTGGGTGAGTGATCAGCGATCCGTGCATCTGTTTTTATTACTATACCAGTGTAAGAATGAAGCGTGAGACAAACTTACGAAGCCGTTCCGTATGAATGAACGTGTGATTTCAGTATAATTAATTGCGTGTTCATATTTCGTATTTTAACTACAAATTTATTTTTGTAGTGTTACTTGCTATTTATATAAAATATTATAATCAACTTAAATGTAAAAAATAATATATTAAAATGAAATCAATTTTGTAGATATAGTAGTTTCATAATATGTAATTCTTAAAATTAGTATTTACATTGATATGTAAATAAGCACTAATGGTTACAAGGCTGGAAACAAGATGTATTACTATTTGATAATGAACTGTTTAAACATTTCAACAGTAACATTATAACACATATGATTTCTATTAAATATTATTTATTATTTCATCTAAATATTTTTTTTATTATTTTTTACTCTATGAACTTTTTTATAACTTTCAAATATATTCCAATCTATGGGAAAATAAATTGCCATTTGTATTTACTTAAACCAATTGTTTTTATTTTATGCACTTTGTAATAATAAAACTATGTATAAGAATAATATAATGTATCATATAATAAAAAATATCATGATATGCCTTGATTTTCAGTTAAAATCATGCCTCCCAAATCCGGATATCATCACAGAATATTCTACCCTCTTCAATGGAGATATTTTACACCAAGTTTATCTTCAAATTGATCCAGAACCTTCATATCATATCACAAAATTGGCAGGGTTAGAGGACCAAGCTCTATTACTAGGCAGAGTAAAAAATTTTGATGCCATTGTAAAAAATGTGAAGGCGTTGTTTGAGGATGAACTGGGTATGACACTTTTGGTTGTTCCGGAATGTATATGCTTGGGTAAAGCTCCAGAGACCAGAGAAGGACTTGAGAATATGAAATTATTAATTTTATTATTACTTGGTGCTGCTGTTCAGTGTCCCAATAAGGAACTATTTATTACTCGAATTAAGGAGTTGGATGTGGATTTACAGCATAATATAGTGGAATGTATTAAACAAGTATGTAGTTGATATATATATATATATATATATATTTTGTTGTAACTAGAGAATGATGTATAATAATGGTAACTCCACTTGTACTATTGGTATATATTATTGTTGAATGAGTCAGTAGGTAATAAATAAAGCAGGTCAGTCAAACCAAAATGATGATTTTATTGGAATTAATTAATAAATTTCAAAATTGGCAAACCATGAACTAGTGATAACTTCTGTAAGCACACATCTAGAAACTAACATGCACCTATATAAACCAGCTTGATGCTTTAAGGCGAAAAATGTGATGATAGTAAAACCCCCTAAACTTTGTTAATTACTTTTGCAATCAATAGTGTTTACTCCCATATAATATTTTTTTTAGGAGTAAAATCCTAAATAGCTATGATATTTCTAATTCCATATTTAAATTCATGTGTTATTGTGGAGTCGTTTATGTAATTATACACTCTTAATTACTTTTATTAATATTATAAATGTAATAGTGAATCTGTTTTTATATTATATGGATTGGAGAAGGATATGACTACTTTTGTGGGTAAAAGTTAGTACAAATATAATATTTACATATTGTAAAACACGGGCCTATCCATATACCAATGCTGCAGGATCAGAGTAGTAACTTTAATTACTGCCCTTCGGGTTACTTTAATTATGTATATTTTGTTTAAAAAGGTAAATTTTCCTCATAAGATCTAAACACCATCACTGTCAAAAATAAGTAAATTGTTTTAATATACTTCTAAATATTTTTGTCTTTCTAATATTCAAATCAGAAAGATAAATATTATCCATTTTGTGTTATTATAACACAAGAATAAAATGAAAAAATAATTTCTTCTTTTATATATTTTGCTTTTTTGTATATGTATTCTTTTATATCTTTTTACTGTATGTCTATCAATGTCTATTGTTATTTGTGTGGTGTAAGTAATGCAAATAAATTCTATATCTATCTATTAGTTTAAGTTTAATTTTTTTATATGTTTTCATAGGTGACAGATATGCAAACAGTTGTTTTGACTCCAGATGCTATAGACCTGTTCCAATCCCCAACAATGTTTAATCATATGCGACGCTTGGCAAAAGAACGAGACCACTACTTAATAAATTGGGCTTCTTTAGTGCTTAATGAAGGGTTATGTGAAAATGATAATGAGAATAAAAATGGAAAGAGTCGGTCTACACAGAATATTAATCAGGCAAATGGTGAGAGTCAACATCTTGCTGTTGAGTTGGCTGATTGGAAGGCGCGATTACGGAAGCAAAGACAAGAATTGTAAGTATTTTTTTTATACCACTGAGGTGGCAAACAAGCATACGGCCCACCTGATGGTAAGTGGTTACCGTAGCTTATGAATATCTGCAATATCGCGTGCGTTGCCGACCCTGAAGAAACCTCTTTAAAGAACCCCATGCTGTAGGCTCTTGGAAAAACCTTGGCAGGGAGTTCATTCCATAACCTGAATGTTCGTAGGAGGAAACATCTCTGAAACCGCGTTGTACGTGACCATTGAGGCTGTAGGATATGAGGATGAACTCCCTGTCGATGGCGAGCCGTACGATGGTAGAAGATGGCCGTGGGCATTATATTGAACAATTCCTCTGAGCACAATCTGTTGTACGAACGGTAGAACACGCAAAGTGAGACAAAATCTCTTCTAAGACATAAGGGTTCAATACTGCTTGTAAGCTTGGGATCACCGACAATGTGATCCCAAGCTAATGTGTATTTTCTAGTTTAACTTCAACTACATTTAGAGTATATATGTTTTATGTACTCTGAGTTTCTAAGATGGGCAATACAACTTTATCCTCTATTCTGTCAAATGTTTTATTGCAATCAATAAAAGCAATGTAATGTTTTATTCTTAATACTTTTAGAGAACTTGTTTCAAAGTTTTATATATGATCAATTATTGAGTTGACTTCTAAAACCCGTTTGTTCTTTTAGTTGATTTACATCTAATGTATTTGAGTCTTGCTAAAATTGTTTTAGTAAATACCTTGTATAGATTGGACAAACTGCTCATTGGTCAGTAGTTGTATATTTGTTTGTTTTGCTTATAAAAAAATAATATAATGTTACTAAGTAATTTTAATTTTTTAGAGAAGAAAAGTCTGAACAATTGTCTGAGTGTCGTGAAGAATTGGAGCATACTAAATTAGTACTGACTAAGTTACGTACTGACAGTCAAGAATGGTTTAATGAAGCTCGAAAATCTGCAGCATATAGAGATGAAGTTGATGCACTCAGAGAGAAAGCTGATCGTTGTGACAGGTACAGTTTTACTTTTTTAGACCAAATTATCTGAAAAAAATGGCATATTGTATTGTATTTAAAATCTTTATTGTACGTAATTTACATTGGACACATTAAAAGATTTGATAAACAATGGCAGACTTATCCCATAGAGGGTGCTCTTATAGTCAACCTTTTAAGAAGCTAAAAGAAAACTATAGAATGTTCAAGGGTAAATACTGTACAGTTAAATTTAAAACTCCTATATATCTAGTTAATATTAAACATATTATAAAAAGTAACTACACACTTATATAAATAAGCAATAATAATACATAAATATATATTTATTTATTTACATTTTATAATGATAATTCGTACAAAAGGCGGTCTTACCGCTAAAGCAATTTCTTCTTTAAATAATAGAATATTTACATAAATAAAAAATAATAAACCTTCACAAGTTTATATATATATATATATATATATATATATATATATATATATATATATATATATAACCCCACTGGAGATTTTAAGTTTAAATAAATTATTTTTATTATTTGTAGATTGGAACAGGAAATTCAACGATATCGCGATCGTTTAGCTGATGCCGAGTATTATAAAACCAGAGTATCTGAATTACGGGAAGACAACAAAGCTCTAATGGAGACAAGAGATGCATTAGAGGAGCAGCTTCAAAGAGCAAGAAAGAGAGCAGATCAATGTTTATCATTAGAAGCAGCAATGATAAAATTGAAAAGAGAAGCAAATGATATAGCACTAGTAAGTTATTCTTTGTTATTGAAAATATGTGCAATTATAAGAAATAAGGAATAAAAATTAATATTTTTTTAGGAAAGAGATGCGGATCAGCAGAAAATTCAAGAATTAATAGAAGAAAATAATCATCTTCAATATATTACAAAATCAGTTCTTAGTGAAAGTAACAACAGCAATTTAGATACAGATAATGAATGCGAAAGTACATTAGAATCTGGCGAAAATAGTTTATCTGAACAACTGACAAGTAATGCACAAGCAAGAGCATTAAAACTGGAATTAGAAAATAAGAGATTATTGTCAACCATTGACAATTTGAAGGAACAGTCACTATTGGAAAGTAGTGACAAAATGTTAGAACTGGAGAAAGAAAAGAAAAGGTTAAGTTTAAAATGTGATCAATTACAGGAAAATTGTAATAGACTTATGCAGCAAAATTCTGAATTAGAGGATGTTTTCAAAAATGCTTTAGAGGAGAACAGAAAACTTCAAGATTCATTGGATAGTCAAAAAGTATTTATAGATAAACAAGCCATTGATAGAGATTCAGAGAAAAATAAATTACAAGATTTTGAAAGACATTTAGAGTCTTTAACCAAAGACAAGCAACGAATTCAAATGTTATGTGACTCAATACAAAGACGAGCAGATGATTTAGAAAAATCTCTTGATGCAAGAACCAAGGAGTTAAATATTGTGAAACCAGAAGCTGAAAAAGTAACTGCACTCATAATACAAACTGAAGAACTAAAAACAAAATTAACTTACAGTGAAAAAGAATCGCATAATCTCCAAAGAGAAGTAAATAAATTAAGAGAGGCATCTGAAGAAAAACATGTACTACTCGATAGTTTAACAACTGAAATTGAATTAAAGAAAAAAGAGATGGAAAGGTTAAACAGAGAATTAGAAACGAGTCAAACAGTTATCAGCAAATTACAAGATTCAGAGCAAAAAGCACAAGAACTAAAATCACAAAAGAAAGTGGATTCAGAAACTATACAAACATTACAAAAGGATTTAATCAAAGAAAAAGTAAATTTTGATAGATTAAGAAATTGTGTAGAAAAACTTGGCATTAATGTATCTGAAATTATATCTAAAGAAGTAACTGTAGATGACTTATTAGAAAAAATTATAACAAACTCTGATCATGAAGCATTGATATCTGAAATTGCTGCCAAAGCTAATTTAATGAAATTGGTCCCTTGTTCTTGTGATCACAAAGAAAAATTAGATGTTGATGAAAATGTAACAAATCCTCAAATTGAACAATTGACATCTGATTTAGCAGCTCTCACAGCTTCTCTTGAGAATTGTCAAGCCGAGAATGCCAAACTAGAGGTTAACATAGCAACTTTAAATTCTCAAAACGGTTCATTAATTTCACAACAAATGACTTTACAACTTGCCAATAGTCAATTAGCTGCAGAAAAAGAAGAAATAATTAAACAACTTGAGGTATTAAAAGATAAACAAGACAACCTTTTACGAGATCAAGTAGCTTTACAAACTCTCCATGAACAATTAAATACGGAGTATGAAATGCTACTCAGCGAAAGAGAACCTGTGAAAGTTACTGTCAGAGACTTAAAAATAGAAAATAGAGAATTAAAAGAAAGAATGGAAATAACACAAAAGAAGTTGTCAGAATATGAATTGGAACATGAAAACTTAAAAATAGAGTCACGAAATTTAACGAATTTGAGAGCAGAACATTCTAAACTAAAAGATGATTTTAGAAATCTATTTACAGCAAGTGACAGACTTAAAAATGAATATAGAAATATGCAGGAAGAATACAGAAATCTGAGGAGTGAAGTAACTCAACTTAAACTTAGAAATACTGAAATGTCAGGTGAAATGAATACCAAACAAGAGATTATTACTAGTATGGAACTGGAAGTAAACAAGACTAATCAACATTGTGAAATGTTAGTACAAATGAATAAAAGCTTGGATGCCGATAGACGGTCTTTGATGGACCATGTATCTCAACTTTTAACACAATATCATGAATTGCTAGCACATTCTTTAAAAGATAAACAACACTATCATGAAGAAGAAAAAATGTTTGCAGATAGAGTTAATGCTTTATGTCGACAAAAAGAGAAGCTGGAAGAAAAAATTATGGAACATTATAAGAAACTTGACAATTGTACACCAAAACGACGTGGTTTTGGAGCATCTTTCGTAAAAAGAGTGCGAAAAGCCGGCACTGATTTGATAAACAAAGTGCCGTCTAGAAATAACAAAAGAATTGAAGATGCCAGTCGATCTAAATCACAGTTAACATTAGCTGGTTCAGAATCTGGGGAGTCTGATCCTGGTAGTCAAGATATAGAAAAAATATCTAAGATTTCAGACCAGGATCAGGGCTCATCCAATCCTAGTGCTGAGTCACCAAGGCATAGTTCAGACTCAAGTTTCAGCAGGCGATTCGATGACAAACTTTTGAAGAAATCAGATAACATTGATATAACAGGATCATTTCCGAGTTTAGATTTTCGGTTGACAAATGAAACAAATTTTGTAAGACGCCTCTCCACCACATCAATGCATAGCGGAGGCGGAGATGATGCTTTAATTAGAGCATCTCTTAGAAGACGGCCTCATAAAGCCGTGCCTTCTTCTCATAGAAATAGCTACCAGGGTTTGGAGGGTGATACAGGACTTCCAGCAGGTACAGAATAAATAGTACTCATTTTTAAAAGCTGAAAGAAAAATTTATCAATTATGCCTTGTGTGGTGACTTGGAATAAATGAGACGAAATATTTATTAAAATCAGTGTCTTAAACTCAATGTATGATATATAAATATATGTATATCGAAAATTTTATGAATAACTGTTTATCATTTCCGACAATTGTTTCGATAAACGGTATGTTCATAAAATTCTCATTATACATATCCATTGATAAAAAATTAAATTATAAGAATAGTATAAGTATTGCATTTACAAACTTATGTCTTTCAGATCAGTGGCATGGTTCTCAAATATAAGTTATGCATTGTATATTTTTTTGCAGTGTCGACTCCATCTCCAGTTTTTGGTACAGCTGGTTCGCGTCGTACTGTATATCTTGCAGACGACAACCCTGATGTAACTCTTAATTCGAAACCTCAAAGCACACCGTTAAAAGATAATCCTACTTATTTGGTGTATAATCGAATTTCGACAGTAATAGGTGATGGAGCTTCTCAAAATACTAACGATAGGGGTACTAATGATCTTCATCGTTCAATGTCAGAACATCCCCGTTCAACTGTTGATGAAAATATGCAGGACAGAGAGGAGTTGCGACATGATAGAAGGACCGTCAGTCGCAATGAAAAATCTGACAACTCCAAGGAGTCTGCAATTTGGTATGAATATGGTTGCGTATGATATTTATTAGAACTAAGAAGCTAATTTGAATGCATGAATGTGCAGACTGACGAGATGCCTTGAATTTAGATAACTTTACCATTTTTGAAATTGTGAAATGTGATTTGAATGTTGGATTGATAATTATATGATATTTATTGAGATTGAAGAAGGATTGATGCGTTTCATGTTAAATAATGAAGACAGTATTAACTTGGCATTTAATAATTTTGTCCATGATGTACCTATATATTTAGCTTTAAAATTTACTTAATTTTTTTTTATCCATTTAAATAAAGCATTGCAAAGCATATAGCAGAACAAATTTATTGCAGGCAATTAGATAATAATTTATAACAAAATACATGAAAGGACTGACTGACTCCTTAAACTGAAAGCTATTGGAAGATATAAGCAAAAGCTTATTTAATTTTAGCCTTATATTATCTTCATATTTTAGTATTAAATACTCTTGCAACAACTCGAATTTTCTACTAATTTATATTTTAAAATATAATTGGTAATCTAATAATCTCGAAAGTAGAATAAAGTATATACAATTGATATTAAAAATTCCATAAACATAATTTTACGATAATTATGATTATCTATTCCTAATACTCGAGAAAATAAATATGAGGCTCCATTAATTAAACGTAATACTGACTTGTTATGGAAATTAATTTAAACTCCAATTAATCAAAATGCACAAAATAAGAAAAAAGTAGCAACAAATAAATGCAATAATTTTAAGTATTGATTTTATTATTTCCTTGCCAGTGATTATGTGACACTTGTTTAATTTTAAGTTAGTTTTACCGGCTAATTTTAATATTAATAATGATTTTACACTTTTTTAAAGCATAATTAATTTGTATATGTACAAACTATTTTGTTGTTTATTTATTAATGAAGTCAATTCAAATTTATATACAATTTTACAACTGTGTTTTTAAGATTGACTAGAATTATTACTAACTTCTAATTTACAATTTTAATTTAGTTCAGTACAAAGAATTTGATTTTGTAATAATATTTTAGTAATAATATTATGTGATAAATCCTAGATGGTATATACACTTATATAAGATTATAACATTAAAATAATGCGAAGTTTGATTCTTCACAATATATTTTATTTTACTTTTATATTTTTATTGTGATTTTCTTATGTGTTTATAATTTCACTTTGTGATCGAATTTATATTTTAGCATTCGATTGTCGTTTTGTCTAACTAATCCCTTAATTATACTTTTGTACTTAAATAATCCCTAGTGCCTTGTAGCAATCTTGGAAATCGGACAAGTATACTCTTGGATATAAAAATGCGTTCACCCGACAAATTTTTTTTTTTGTTAATAAATTTGAATGAAAGTTAGTTACGCAGATGGTTAAATCGTAGATTTTCCAAATTATGGCAAACAAAGTCGTGAAATTATATATATAAAAAATATTGAGATTGCTTTATTTAACCTAAAAATACAGAACCCACATATTTGTAGTAGAAGGCTCTCTATGTGGTTTAAAAAGCCAAGCAAGCAAATCAAACCATAACAAGAGAACACAAGTAGGGTCATTATATTTTATTATAGTTTATACAACTAAATATTAAATATATTAATTAGCATTAGAAACAACATATTAGCCGACAGGCTACTTGACCATAGACAGCACAGTATATGTAATGTCGCCAGTTGCACGCCTATAAATTATGTGTTTTACATTCCTGAGGCCTCGGGTATAATATGATTTATTATGTTTGTGTTATACTTCTGACGAAAAGGCATTTAAACGACATTCATGGTGAAAATGATAAGAAGGTACCTGTTCTATCCAAGCAAATTGCAAAACTTGACCCATTTATATTAAAAATCGGTACTCAGAATATGGTGCTCTCTCTCTCTCTCTCTTCAATTTAGATTTTTTTCTTTCTATACAAAAAAAAAAAAACAAAAAAAATATTTCTTAGCTTTATAAAGTGTAATAGTTTACTAAGCATGTGTACTATAAATTAATATGTAAAACAGCCTCTCACCGAATTTATGTCTTAGCACATTACTTAAATACTGTACTTTGAAAATAAAACTGGAAATCTCACTTGTTGAATGTTTTATTTTGATTAAAATATTCTTGTACTTAGTTTAAATTCACAGTCTGAAGTTTGGTATTTAACTTAAATTAATATAATTAAGGTATATAAAAGGTGTATTTTAATATGCTAGTTGCTTGATATAATATTATTATTAATATTTATATTTTGTTGGCTTTAAAACATTAGTTCATACAAGTGTTGTTTTTTCTATGAACATTTTTAATAGGCTTATATCATTTTACTATCATATTTCAAACAATAGTGTAATTCTGAAGATATCACAATCAATGATTAATTTTTATCATCACAATTTAGAAAATTATTACTCATCTACTCTTGTACATTGTGTAGTAACACTTTTAATGTATTTTTACTTTTTATTTGGAAATAAAATTAATTTTACAATATTAGAAATGTGTTTATATTAATATACATTAAAAATAATATTGAGTAAGTCATGGATATATTTACTATTATAATTATTTCAGATCTTACATTCTTTGTAAATAAAATTATTATTTACAAAGAAGAAACCATAATCCTAAATGCTTTACATTTCACATGTGAGTAGCTAAATTGAATACTAAAGTACTAAAAACTGCTATGGGCTATATTATAGGCATTATGTTATTCTTATAAATACATATAAAATTAAAGAGATCCGTTACAATTGGCTGTAGTCTTGATTTCCCATTGCAGAACTGGGCAGGGTTGTATTGGTACTTTAAATGGTTGACCAGAGACAACTGCTTTTTGGCCTGGTTCTACTTTTGGGGGGAGATAAGAGATTATGCACTGAAACAAATATTTCATAAATAGTTTACTGAGTAAAAATTAACACCTAAATTAAAATTTATATGCATTAGATTGCCTATTTAGAATACTTCACATAATTCGAAAAATTTGCCAACAATGTTTGTTTACTTGTTAAATTCACAGAATGATAATTTGTTTAGTTAAAAAAGTGAGAAAATGATTAGAAATTGACACAAAATTTAATAAATGCTGGCCTAACAAATATCCTTAATTATTTACCTTTGGTCTTTCATTTTCAGTAGACATGTACCCAATGCACATAGTTTTAGTAGTGTGACCCCATAGCAGTTCACCTTCACCAATTTCTGAATCAAATCTTAAGGCCAGTGTACCACCCAACCTTTCAGGAACATCCCATAGGAACGGTGATTCAAGAAAGTGTTCTTTAAAACATTTGTCAAGACCTAAAATTGGAGAAGCTTCTAACAAACTCTCTGCAGTATTTTTAGCTAACTGAGTGCGAATTAAATGCTCTCCACAGCCAGAGGTGCAAGCAGCTACTGATGGCTTTTTTCTGTCTCTGCTCATTACTGCCCATACTCCACTGCCAAATGAAGCTGCTTGACCAACCCTCCCTTCATGCTTTAGCGAGACTCCACCTGAGCTAGCTCCTGATGCCACAATGCCGTTTGAGTCAACGCAGATAGCTCCTACAGTGTCTAATGGGCTGAATTTAATATCATTCTGTAAAGAATATCTTTTTAATTTTCGCTTACAGTGTTTATAGTTTCGAAATGAACGAGCTGAGATCATTTTTCTATTTTCAACTATTTCTATGCCCATTCTTTCTGCCCATAATCGTGCTCCCTGTCCTGTGAGAATGCATGGAGGCACACGGCCAAGAGAGAGATTGTCACACTGTTTTATGCAAAGGTGTTTTGCTAATGATATTGGGTTCCATACATTAGAAACTGCTCCGCATGCTCCAAAATGTAATGTTTGACCATTCATAATAGAGGCATCACATTCTACTAAACCATCCCAGCTTAAGTTGGAGCCATAACCAGCATTTGTTAGTGGACTGTTTTCTAATTCTGAAATAATATAAAACAGTAACTATAGAATTGTGTAAACTGAGTAATAAGCAATACAAATAATTTAAGCATTATATAATACAAACCAATTATAGCTTTTTCAACTGCTTCAACAGCATTTCCACCATTTTTTAGGATTTCCGCAGCTTTCCTACAGGCGATATAGCAAGTTTTCTGGTACTCCTTCTTCAGAGAGTCACTATGATAGCCAGCCCCTAATAATAAAAATGTGTTAATGTCTCATTTGAAACTGATAACAATATTTAATTGTAAAAAAATATTGAATTTTTTTTTTATATTAGTCTTACCGCAATGCACAGCAATGAAACCATGCCCATTCATTATTTATAGATGCTAAAAAATAATAAACATTATTATAACAAAGGTTTTAAGTTTTATATGAAGAAAATATTGTGGTAATGTAAAATGAAAATTACAAAATAATAATTAAGTACCGTAAATAGGAACATCAAAGAATTTAAGAAATATATTAAAGTGAACGAACGACAACTAAAGTTTGACATTCTATTTTTTGTTCTTATTTGACATTGATTAATTTTTTTTTTTAGTACGTTTGTTCCGTTTGGAACAGGCTAAGGTCGGAGACCATGCTGCCTAGTCTTCAAAAAGATAATTTGTCTGGAATAAATTGACATTGATTAAAACACAAATGTCAAAGTAATAATTTATCAATATATGTATACCCAGAGATACAGAGGTAGAGGTCTTACGTAACTTTCATACTACTGTTACTACCCTAAAAAGCCGGTGGGGAAGGGATTGTTAGTAATGAGGTCTAGTAGCACCATTGCTAGCAATACACCCTCTCAGGTAGACCTTCACAATTTTTGTCGAATTCATCATGGTGGGCTAAGTGACCTGTTTTCACCATCACCTATCATCTTTCACTGGTGCCCCACCAGCGTATACCGTTAGCGCAGGCGGGGTTACCATTCCATTATCACCCATTAAAAGAAATATCCTAAAATGCTGAAGCCAGAAGATGAAAAAAAGAACTTCCATATTACTTTTTAACCTTTGGTTATATAACATGTTCTTGGGGTTACATGTTTTTACCTACAGAATGTTGGTGGCGGGTGTATACCGATAGCTACTATCTTGATATATGATAGTAAATATTTTGCAGATTGTGAGAATCAACAAATCGATGGTGCTGCCTCTGCAGAGCGATTAAGAAACTAAAAATTGTATTTAATAATTATATTTCATTTATTACTATTTTTAATCATTAGTAGCGCACATTTTGTCAAAGAAAAATACATATAGCTCATCTTAAATACTTCACTTAAGTATGTTATACTAAGTCTATGTATTTCATTTGTTAAATAATAAACAATTGTACTAATACAAATTTTTTTATAAATCATAAATTATCGATTGCATAGTGATTGCTAATTTGTCGGCAATCAAATCAATTTCTGGATCAGATATAAGGTTCATTTTTAATTTTACATATTTCACAAGTTTTATGCAAACTTACCCATTCTAATATCTTTAACCAACAAGCACTACGGAAATATGATTTCCATTGATATTTAAAAAAAACTTATTATATAACTAAAATATAACTAATGCCCAAATTTACAATCAAATATCTTTTAATATAATTCTAATATAACCTATGTAATTTAAATAGGTTCACAGTACAGTTAGTGGTGATAGAAAAATACATCAAAATTTTATATTTCATAAATGTATTAAATATACAATATAATTTTCTAAACATATTTTTTATATGGATCTAACAAATTGTTAAACAAAACATTATAAATATACAACCTTATGGAATATAATACAACTTGCATATTTATAAAATTTATTCAAGACAAAATAGGGTAGATATGCCAACAAAAATTATTTAACATCAAATTTGTAGTACCTATATCAATTCCAAGTGTAATAAGATAAAATTAAAATTGAACATCATAATGTATACACTACTGAAATCAGGTAGATACAAATTGTGCTATTAATCATTAGTTTGTCAAGATTGTATCTGTAGCACATCTACTTAATTTTATATAAATAATATTGAAATTTTACAATCATTTCAAGTTTCTACCTGCTGTCATCATAACTCCAACTACAAGAGCGGCAATTGTGAAGCCTTGTGCTACAATTCTGAGTCGCATCATTTGTTGCGACAGTTTTGTTTTACCAGATTTAAAACTCCACAGTCCAAATGATAGAGCTCCTGCTGTGGCAAGGCAACCTGAAATTTGGTTATTATTATATAAGTTGTGTCATATGATAGATTAGACATTAAGCAATATTATTTGGTCTTCAGTTCATTCATATATAGAATCTAATATTATTTATTTTATTACAAATAAATTATATTAAATACATTGATCTTGTATTAATTATGGTCATCTTAGAATAGTATAACTTCATACTTTGTAGTAGTAAAAAATGTTTCATAATTTTGACTTAATATTTTTCAATTATAAAATAAATTCTAAGACTATATTAATGTATTGCCAAAACATATTAATTGTCTTTGTACAGAAATTTTACTCGGAAAATTTATAAGAAAAATTTACAAAGGTTTTTTAGGCTAATAGTATGCATTTACAAATATTCCGAAGATTATATGTTGGACTATTTATACTGCAATAAGGCATTATTGATTTTTAATTATCCATACCTAGAGGTACAAAAGGATTTTCAGTAAATTTCCGAGTAAACTTTTCCTTGGTTGTTTCAGCATGTTGAGTGACATTGCTCATTTCCCGGCGCAATTGCACCCAATCCAAGTCCGGTGGTTCTTCGTTAGGCATAGTATATTCAATTTAAAAATTATGAAAGACAATTTTTTTGTTAAAGTTACTTTGTCGTATGATAAATAATTTATTAATTTTATAGGTAATTTTCAAAATTGATATAAGTATTTTTGAGTGTTGACTGGCCAATACCACAGAGCAAGTAATCACTAAGTTCTAATAATTGTCAGTGGTCTTATATACATGGGAAAATGAAATGTATGTTACCTTTTCAAAATAACAACACAATGAAATAGTAACAGTAGGTACATTTTGTCTTACTTTTTTTGCGATAAAAAGTAAGTTAATAACAAAAAAAAACCAAAAAAAAGAGCAATCAATGCTTTTCTAATTTATTCATTAGGGGGAAAAAAAAATTATTTTTAGGTAAAAATAAAATTAGCGTATGGTATATCTAGGTGTCGCTGGTCGTTTATGATCTGTAGAGATGTATTAGCCGAAATTTTAATCCCTTAACTATTCTATTATTTATGGTTTAAAAACCGGCTAAATAGTCAACTATTTAGCTATAGAAAAAAACAGTCATTATAATTGACCCAAAAGCGTAAGGCATAAGGTTAGCTATTCATCTGAATAACTGCCTAGCTACATTACATTAAGTTTGATCCTTAATGCAGTAATATAAAAGTTTTACATAATAATTAAGTAAGATGAAACAACATTGTGATTTTGTTTATTTTCTTTAAATTTTTTATTCAATAAACTACTTTGTCGTCATTATCAGCATCTCAGTCATTATTTGTCCACTGTTGAACATAGGCTTCCTCCATAGACTGTCACTAAGAACGGTTCTAAGCCACCTGCATCCACTGACTACCTGAATCTAGTTAGGGATCATACTGCACTGCGTTTGCCCGTACGGGGTCTCTACTCAAGAACCTTTCTTCTTTATCAGTTATCGGTTTTTCGAGCTATGTGACTAGCCCATTAGTATTTCAGCTTGCTAATTTTTCGGGCTACGTCGGTAACTTTGCTTCTTTTGCGGATATCCTCATTTTGGAACTGCAAGTCTAGCACTTTCCATAGCTTGCCGAGTAATTTTTTAATCGAGACAACCGTATAGGACCATGTTTTAGTTCCATAAGTCATTACACTAATACACGCATCAACTATAATCGAACAGATCAACTCAAAGTTTAAGTTCATAGAAGTTGTTTACTCTTGTTAATAACATGAATCTTGATAATATCCATTGATGGATCTATTAATAGAATTTTCACTACAGTAATGTTTATTTTTATATTACCATAAATTAGTTCCTTCAAAAAACAAAAAAAAAAATATAAATAAATAAATATCAAAATCACAATATTTGATCATCTAACTTATTTGTTACTGAAGCGAGGATCATATTTGATGTAATGCAGCCGGGTAGTTAATCGGCTAATAATTTATTGTATGTTCTTATGGATGAAAATGAAATGGCAACTCCGCCTGCGGTATTGATATATACTGGCGGGGCTCCAATATAAGATAATATCTTAATATAAGATGTCTATCGTCTCTTACTGGAGGATGAAAGCAGGTCATTTAGCCCATCGTGACAAATTCAACAGGAATTTACCACGATGATTTCCAGGAGAAACTATGTAGAGGTCGACCTGGTTGGGTATATTGCTAGCAATGAGATTCTCAGTCTCCATTATTAACAATCCCTTTCTGCCCATAGCTGTAGAGTTAGAGGTAGATAAGCAATAGCTGACTATGTGGACGGCAGATAACGTAACCGTAGCTATTCTTTGAATAGCCGTTATATAGCCGAGTATCGGTATAGCTACCTATCGCTACGTACTGGTACTTATCGTACTGTACCTACGTAATTGCTATTACTGTTTTTTAGTAATTTCATTTTGTTGTTTATTTTTGTCTGGTGTACATTACGATTATAGTTTTGTTATAGTACAATGTTTAATTTTTGTGTCTTAAATATTTTCATTGATACCGTAAGTGTCTTGATTGATATTGTTTTAATCTTAGTGGCGATGGTAGTTTATATTTATGTAAATATCAATTTCCTTTTCCATTTTATCTACAAAATACTTTTTAAATTTTGGTTGTGATGCGTGTAATATGATCACAATAAATATTTAATGATGCCTAATAATTAAATTTCTTTAAGTTTTCATCTGACGAGTATCAGAAATTATCATATTTGTTAAACTTGTATTTAGTTTTCATTCAATTGAATATGTGTTAAAATAAAAAAAAAAATGCACCCGATGGCTATTCTTTTCTGCTATATTAGCTTACTAGCTTTTATCCGTAACTTCGTTTACGTGACCGGGACATGTTCTCTATTTGGGATAAAAAGTAGTCTGTGTTATAGAGAATGGTTAAGTTGTTAAACCTTTGAGAGGTAACAAACAAACTTTTACTTTTAAGCTTATTTTTTACATTGGAATTAGCTAATACCTATATTGGGTTTAAAATTTGTAAAGCTGGACTGATTTGGTTTGTATCTATACATCTTTTTAAATAGTTTAAAATATAGCTTTTCTTATTTCTATTTAAAGATTATGCACCTAAGATCTAGTTGATGGGTTAATTTCTAAATAAATGATAAATCTATTTTATTAGAAATTACTATAAAAGTGATTTTTTTTATTACTTCTTAGCACCTTAACTATTCAATCAATTATGAAATGTCATGTATGGAATTATATAGGCATATTTGCAAACATATGCTTATAATGTGGGATGGAGAAAGATATTGCCTACTGTTTATACCTGTTTAACAGAGGCATACACAGTTTAAATGTGTATTAAAGAAAGTAATTTGTGAATAGAGGTTTTGATTTTAATATTCTTGTGGAATGACTATTTTTTTATACATCTTAAAATGGCAAACAAGCTGACGGCCCACCTGTTGGAAAGTGGTAACCATCGCCTATAGACATGAGCAATACCATGGATATAACAGAGTATACTGTTTCGCCCATGATACCTCCATGCGTTGCCATTCCTGAGGACTCAGGTGTTATTCCTCTGTACCCTGTAAATTCACGCTATATCCCACCCTTCAAACTGAAACACAGTCATGCAAACACAACTGCTTTACGGTTGAAACATGAATGGGCCAGAGGTACCCAAGCAAACGACTTTTGTACAAAGTCTCCCTCTTATTATTTGAGTAACTAGTGACCCACTCTTCCTTTGCATGAGTCAAGAGATAGAATGATATATTACTATTTTATATTAACATTAAAAGCCAATTTTTGATACTTAAGGTCACATTAATATAATTTTCGTAGGGATCTAAATTTATTGAGAAAATAACAGTCACATGTTACTGATAATGTAGCTTTTTTATAGGAGACAGAATTGTTTAAATTAGTTAAGCAGTTTTTGAGTTTATCTATTATAAACAAACATCCTCCTTATAATAAGCTTAGATAGATATAGATTTACAATAGGTTAATTGTAACTTTATAAATTTATAAATGTTTGTTTCAGATGTTTCCATCATATCAGTGTTGTCTGAAGGTGAATGAACCACAGACAGTGTCCTGAACACTGTTTTCTCTAAGTTATATATAATTTATTTATATATTTAGTTTATTTTCTTTAACTGATTTTTACGTCACTGTACCTTGTCTGATAATCTTATCTCTTCTGCTCATGATAAATTATTTAGTCTTAAATCCCAGTTGATACAGAGTTTTTACTTAAAGTTTTATTTTATAAGTATCAAATTTTTCTCAATTATATTTCCAAAATGGGTTCTAGTGACCCTAAAATTAAAGATGGATTAACTCTTCCTGTGTGGATGAAGACAAGACCAACAAAGTAAGTAAATAATTAATATATGCATATATGTATATATTTAGTTGTAACAAATTGGTCTTTCAAATCCATAATCATTATTTTATATTCATAACTTTTTGGTGAATAAAAGAGAATTGGTTAGTCAAGACATCATGTTATACAAATAAATCAATATGAGAACAGTTTATTTAATTCTATTAAAAATAACATATGACATCAAAGTTTTATCAATGTATTTATATTTATGTATGATTTATTGAAAGTTAAAGCTAGAGACAAAAGAATCGGAAAGATTGTGATTTTTAATTTCATCACTTGATAAATATTTATGAATGCTTTTTTGCAGTAATAGAAGTTACAAATAGATAATTGATAATGTATTTAAAAGCAAATGTTGTTTCATAAAGGATTTAGATGAAAAACAGTAGAAACAAATCTTTGAAACATATTTATAGAAATGATTTTTTTTAATCTAATGTACCCAGTTTTATAGGTATAAAGTACCTAAAGCTTTGAAAATACCTGTTAAAGTTTTGAAAATACTTGAACATGTAGTTGGAGCTAATAGTGCAGAAAGAAAAAACTATTTCTTATGGGCATCTGAGATAGTGGGGCTATATTCCTTAGGTATATAACTCTAGGTATCATTAAAATTGCAAATCCTAAATTATAATTCTAATATTATAAATGCGTGAGTTTGTTACCTCTTGGGCTTTGACTGTTTAGCCAATCACTATGAAATTTGCTATACATGTACTATATGGGATGGTGAAGGACATAGGCTAATTTTATCTTGGTTAATGAACATATTCCAGTCACTTGTACAAAATTGCAGGTAAAAGCTAGTACATATATAATTTACAGTGAAATTGTAGGTTTTCTGAATTATCCCTTTGCACTCGTATATCCTCGGACGGGGGACATCAGTTGTTTTATTGTTATTGGCTACAATCCTAAGCCACATACGCACAACGGCCCAAATGAGAGGCTAAGCGCGGAAAACAGAGTCTTTCTCACATTCACCATCCTAGGCCAAGCGGTGTATTCAGAGGGTATATTTTGAAATTTCTGATTTAAGGTTGGTGAACCTTATAGGTACTTTGGAACACATTTTCATACAAATAAATTCATCTTGATCTAATATGAAAAAAAAAAATCTGAGTTATCTGCTAACTTTCTAAAGCATAATTAAGCATAATAAAGAGTGCAAAAGGTTAAGTGTTATTTGTGTAGGTAGAGCAATTGTTATGAAACAAGAATAGTATTATTTGTTTAATTAATTATATCGTCATAGTCATAGAATACTTACGGATATATATATAATATTTGTCAGATCCGTTAGTTTTCTACGACTATGACGATATATTAATTTATCACATCTATTGTGTACATGTTACAGCGAAAGTAATAAATTCGGATATTATATGTACTTTTTCAACCATTACGTATAATATTTAATCAATTTAGACAAAGTGAAAATTGATACAGAATTAATCACATTAATTAGCTATTTTATATAAAATCTTAGAAGACGGATAAAGTAACACAATAAGCGTAGGTGAAGTTTATAAAGTTTTATCTCAATTTACCTTAAGCATATCATATATGTGTAGCAGTAATATACTGTTATTTTTTTTTATGCTATTTAAAATGGCAAACAAGTTAACAACGAAGGCTAAGATGGCTTCCAAAAAGTTTGGAGTGCTCAATAGAGTGAGACGGTATTTTACGCCAGAACACCGCTTGAAATTGTATAAAGCTCAAGTCAAACCACATATGGAATACTGTTCTTACCTATGGACAGGAGCGCTACAGTACCAGCTTCTTCTAAAAGGACTGCATTCAAAGTCGGGCGCTTCGAATTATTAATCATCAGCACCTTACTATCCGACTTGACCCACTGACCCACTGTTATTGCATCTCTGTGCATCTTTTACCGAATTTATCATGTAAAGAATTGTTCGGATTGATTTTTGCTGCTGATTTTCACCACAGTACAACCTGCCACAAACTAAAGTGCCATCCCAAACATCTGGATTAGTGACGATCCTCCAGTGTGCGTTTTTCACTTTCTTCAACACACAACCACTTTTTGGAATCAACTTCCAGCAGCAGTATTTCCGAACCGATTCGATATTATGACCTTCAAGAAAGGAGCATATTCCTTTTTAAAAAGCTGACAGCACACTTGCAATGCCTCTGGTGTTGCGGGTAATCATGGGCGGCGGTTGTCACTTACCATTGTCGTGAAATAGTAATAATTATTATCGTAAATTTTGAAAATATTATAATTAACATAATCATAGATAATAATATTATGTTAATTAACATTGTCATAGATAATAAATTGAAGATAATTAAAATAGTAAATTGAAAGCTTATAAGTCATTACATTGACAACACTGATTAACTTTGACTTGCTATTGCGAATAATATTCGGATAAAGAGAATAATTTATTGTTTGGACAATTTAGTAATTACATATAATGACCATTCATTATTATTTTGTTAAATTATAACTTTGATAATGATTGTGTCATGAATACGCATTGTAATGTGTGTATACTGATATTGGGGGGCTTGGCACTGACGTCAAAATTTTTTTCCTAACTTAACGACACATTGAGGTATATTGCTTAGCGTAAAAGAGATCCCTAGCCCGATACCCGGTCAGGCAAATTTAGAAAACAAATTTTTCATAATCTCTCTCTGTGTTGCCTGGTTTCTCATAATACAGAATATCCTAGCTTTAGGACCAAGAAATTTGTGTTATTCTTGGCACATAGAAGGACATGGATTACTTTTTTCCCCGTCAAGTGGGTGAAGTCGCAGGCGTGCTTATGTTTTCTACTTCGAGAGCTCTTTTTATGAAAATTGTTTTTAAATTATATTTTATCACATTTCTAATAAAGATTCAAAAGGAACACACGATAATATTAATAATATATTTATGTAATATTATGTATTACTTTATTTACCATTATATAATTTAGGTGAAGGTGTGTCAAATTATATTAATAATGTCTTTTCTTCGATGCTATTTGTCTATCATGACGTTGCTAGTGTTGCAATACATATGTGATCCGGTTTAATGTAGCGTTATTGAAGGTCAGTTTGATCTATAGATCGTACTGGTATTTCCACGTTCACGCGTGTATCTTGCTCTTGAATAGATACCTACTATAAAATTTCATCATTCTTTGACCTTGCTAATTGCCCTTTACAAATAAGTATTTGTAGTTATTACAAGCATTGAAAACATTGAAATGATATGTATATCTTTCATGACTAATGAAACACTATTATGAAGTTCTATCTACATGTCTTGTGATGAACGGTAATGAAGAATAATTTTCATCATCGTTCATCACAACGAGTCGACGTAATTATAATATGTATTATATGCACCTATTAAACTATGTTAACTCGTTTATATCTGTTAGTATGAAGCTCAAATATTCGTTAGTAGTTAATATTTATCACAGGAGAAGAAGTGGTATATGTGATGAAAATTTATAATAAAAAATGATAAATGAAAATGATGAGTACGTCACTTTCATTGACTTAAGTTTGTGAACATGGAAATATAGTAAAACAATATGTTTGTTATTAATATGTTTAATTCCATAATTGTCATTATTGAGATCTTAGATAAGTTTTATTTCTATAATATAAATTATAATGATGATGGTAGATAGTAGGTATAATACCCAGTAACTACTCTGAATATACAATAATCATAACATATCAACAATGTTGTTTATTATCATTTCTGATAGTGATGGATGACGAAAGTTTTCATTTGTACAATGTGCCATGTTTATTTAAAATATTAATATTGGGCGTTTTCATATAGGCAAGCAAATGTTTTAAACTTTTTAATATTATAATATATGTGTGTATATTCCATAGTTATTTCAAGTTTATTTATTCTTTATGGCATAATAAAATCTGTACAAATGGCGAGCTTAGTGCCGTTTGGCATTCTCTACCAGCTAATAATTAGGTAAAAACAGAAAGCGATTGAAAATGAAATTTACCTATTACTATATATAATAATTATATAGGAAGTCAAATGATAATAGTGTCTATATTATTTTCGTAAGTTCTAATAAAATTTGATTAGGTGCTTGTATTAGAATTATCAAATTGACCTCCGATATGAAGTAACATATATAATAATATATAGTGTTCATAATGACAATATTACAAGTACCAGTCTACCTATAACATATAAATTGAGTACTGACCTTATTAACTCAATAGCACTAGAGACCTATTTTATTAGGCGCTGTTTGTACACTAAATATGACACACATAATTTACATAAGTATTTAAATAATAAGTGCGAGTGCGACGTAGGATTTTGTTGCCTATATATTCAGGGTTATAACTAAGCTAAATACCACTCTCAATATTTTATTTTGCCACACTTTCATTCTTTCATCCACTTATATTTTTGGCCGATTTTGATGTCTCTGAAAACCCGGCAGCGGATTTATGACTGGATAGGCTACAGCGTTGTAAAAACAAAAAAAAATATGTGTAGTAGAGTACTATAAATCATCAATGCATTTTAAAAGGTTCTATTATAATTATATACATCTGTGCCTAAATATGAAAGAATAGTTTGTTCAATAGAACTTAATGTAAAGATAATAAAGTTTTGTTAAAGGTATCACACCAACACTCTTTAAATTCAATTAGTTATTATATTTTTTACTTATACTACTATAATCAGCAAACTGGATACTCCAGTTTAGGATCAATTATTTGTACCTTCATTGGTTTACATTGAAATAGTCTTATAATTTCGATGTTGTTTGCTTATTTGACTATGTTTCCATAACTAAAATAAATGTGATTATTATTATTGGTTTATCAACGTAAGTCTAAATACCTATACCTCGTATGTAAAAAGATACTTATCGTGTGTTCTAGTACAATACAGAATACCTACGGGTTGTGATGTTTGTTTAAGTAAATTTTTATCGTTATATTAAGTATACCTATATTAAAAACTTTGTCCTTTGTTTGAATTTTTTTATTTTCAAATTGAGTTAAAAATAAGTAATATCAAATTGTAATGTACTGAGATATACTAACTTGTCATATTAATTTGAGAAATTGTTTTATTATGATAGCCAATAGAAATTAATCTCAAAGCCAACGATCTGTGAATATCAATAGGTACTTCAAATGGTTTACAGTACTGTTGGCTATTGTTTGCTAAAGTGACGACAGTGGTCTATTTTCGTAATTTGTATAGTACAACACACATTTTTAGTACTAATAATCCAAGTTCCTTATGCCAAGAATGTGTTTTACGGAAGAATTTCCGTGGTTATACCTAAAGCTTGTCTTAGACATCAAAATCAACGCAGTTTTAGTTCATCACGTGCTTTCTAAATGTGGGAGTGCGGTAATGACCACCTCTTATTGGTTGTTTGTTTGTGACGTCACAGCGATGTGTTATTTTAAAACGAGATGTTTTTGTACTGTCGTGATATCAAATACAATATCCAAATGTTTATCTTTAAGATGTAATGAAGTAAATTAAACTCGTTAACACTGTTTAGTTCAACTATTAAGCTGTTTTGGGAATCGCTAGCTATATATAAATACCCGTCGAGTTCTATTTGCACTGCTTGTGACAAGTTTGATGCAGTTGCATACGTATTATATTTAGGTTAGTTTTTCTGCACTAAGCTAGTTTTAATACATTAGGTGACTGATTAGTGATCATGTTTAGACAGTGAAATATTACGGTGACTCAACACTTATTTTTCTTGAGTGTACTTATTAAATATTAAAAATAGTGTAACAAAAGAGATCAATGTGAACTGTACAATTAGAAACTACCTACATAAAATTTTATTTAATAAAATAACTGTTCTACAGAGAGTTTGAACCATTTGCGTCATCGCCTCCGGCTCCAGAAGATTCATTTTTCTACATACGTTATCCAAAATCGGACGTTCTCCTCGGCAAGACGAAAATTGACCATAATATCACGGCTATTGTCAGCGATCAGACCAACGAAGTTACAGCAGCATCCTCTTACAGCGCTATTAAAGAAAAAGATTGGTCAAAACACACCAAACCCTGCCAGGACGTGCTTCATGGCATTGCGCCAATCAATACAGCTGGTGAGTTTTATATCTATATTTAAATTGTCTAGAAGTTCATTCGAGGTGATTGTCTATTGTGATCCCTATTAAAACAGTTTGCCGTTCCCTAATTCAAAATTTTCAGTATTTAACCAACGGCATGTTGGCTGACGCGTATTATTATTTTAAACAAAAAAAAATCGTTGAAATTTTCATGTTGCAAGTAATTCGATTAAAAAATTGCGTTTTAATCAATTAATATACGTCTAAATAAAAATTAAAACATTCCAATTAATTCTTGGCAGTTAGTGTGGTACCTAATATTAAGCTATTATTTTTTGTTATTTTTTTTCCATGGATGATAGTGTAATGGTAAACCCGCCTGCGCTAACGGTATATGGTGGCGGGGCACCAGTGTTAGATGATACAGTTAACCTGAAATTGTGATGTATTCATCACGATGGTATCGGGGGGGGGGGGGGGGGCACGTGGAGGTATAATACCTGATAAGGTATATTGCTAGCAATGGGACTGATAGTCCGCGTTACTAATAATCCCTTTTTCCCCTAATATTAAGCTATTTATCTTCTTTTAATGACAATATTTTGTGCTCAGGAGTGGATAGTTGAAAGGTTGTAATAACCTGTAATAACCCGTGAACTACCCACAGCTGCACATACCATATTAAATAATAATAATATTGTTTTTATTATGAGTGTTATTGAATTTCATAGTGCTTTTTTATAGTAATTACATATTTTACATTAAGTTTTATCGACCTACTTACAAAAACAATATTATTTACATAAAGAAATATTTATAAATTATTGTCACAAAAGACACATCTGTCGATTTAATTTTTGGTTGCTCTAAAATAATTGAACTATTATATTGCCTTCAACTCATAATTAATGGTTGAATAATAAACATAATGATATTTTTTATGAAATAATGTGTACCAGAGGGAGACTTTGTACAAAAGTCGGTTGCTTGGGTACCTCTGTCCCATTCGTGTTTCTACCGTGAAGCAGTTGTGTTTGCATGGCTGTGTTTCGGTTTGAAGGGTGGGATATGGCGTGAATTTACAGGGTACAGAGGAATAACATCTGAGTCCTCAGGAATGGCAACGCATGGGGGTATCATGGGCGAAATATTATACTCTGTTATCCATGGTACCGCTCATGTCTATAGGCGACGGTTACCACTTTTCATCAGGTGGGCCGTCAGCTTGTACGCTACTCTAAGTCGTATAAAAAAAAAATGAGCGGGAATTCAACAAATTCACATTGCTTATATACCTTTTCCCATCCTTAAATCTGTTTATATAATTGATATGATACTCTGGTTATTTCCAGTGAATTCTATAACATCTAAGCCGAAACCAGCAGGCACTGATGATGGTTTCAAGGGTGAAGGTGCAGCTTGTGGCACTTCTGTTGTCAAGGTCAGTGGTTGAGAGTAAAACAAATTTACTGAGAAATTTATGAGATATTTACCAATAGTATGTATTAAAAGATCCACGATCTTTCAATGCACACAAATCGCGTGTACACACACACACACAATAACTATGAAATTATCTTTTATTAAAAAGGTTATCTGTGGCACATTTAAGATTTTTTTTTGTAGACAACAATTATTTTTAATGACATCCCTAATTTTTTTTTAAAGTTTAAAGCAATATGATCTAACTTAAAATTAGTTTCCCAATAATGATGATGAATGAACTACCTACTTATGTATTTTTAGGGCAAATAATTGAAAACGTAAATAACGTCGACCTTTGGATCAAAGATTTATAAACTTTGACATATGAAACTAATGATAAATTTTATCTTATGCAATATAATTATGAAATTATACTTACCAAGTCAGAGGTCGATAGTTAGATTTTCGCTGACACAAAGTTTTTTATGTTAATTTCTACAATTATAGTTATTTAAATTTTAGACTAGTTAATATATAACTTGAATAGTGTATTTACAAAGATGTATTTTATTTCATCTATCTACTGCATCGCACTTGAGTGATTGTCCAATTTTGTTCGAGTAATCGTAACTTAAAATGATAAAAATATAAAACAATAAATATGTATATTTAAATATTACTTTTCTTTGTATCCATCCCTTTTAAAACAACTGAATTATGAACAACTAAGTTCGGCTGTCATGTTTAATTAATAATATAAGATTCATTCCAGATTTATTAGCTCAGGGTGTAAGAAAATACAATTGTTATCATTACGCTTTACCTTTTTTAATAAAAATAAACAAATCAGTTGCAAATATTTTTTTGTTGTCATTAATTATAGTTTTTGTTTCGCAAAGAGAGTTGACGTCAGGTAGGTGGCCGGTCATAAAACTATAAACCAAATCTTTTTGTAATGTGGATAAAAAACATGTTACGCCGACCGCAAATAATAATTGGGATAAGGGTAGGAAGATGATAATGATTAATTACACTTTTAAGTCGTGTAATCACATTTAGAATCACACATTTTTTTTAACTTAACGATCATTAAAATAAACTCTTAAACAATTATACTACTTCCTAAATATTAACCTTAAATTCTACTAAAGTCCTTCAAATAATTATCTATTAACAAATAACTTTGTTATATTAAAAAACAACTGAAACTAAGTCTTTATTAATGTATTTTGTATTTAATGTAAAATTTGTTAGCGATTATGATATCTATATACATATAATAAAATTGTAGAGGTCGAATCTTTGTACATAGAAAAATAAAAAACGCTAAAAACCGTGATGGTAGAAGTGAAATATAACAAATGCAGATTTAAAAAAAAAAAATTCTGTGTCTGTTTATACCTACGGGCTAATCTCTGAAACTGTTGGACAGGTTTAAATTAAATTTTGCATGGTGGTGGTACCTTACATCCCCGGTCAACATTTTGGGTACTTTTAATTACGGAAAATGAAAGAGTTCCCGTGGGATAGTTAAAAAATATAGTAACTTATACAGCTTAGTACATAACGTACTTAAGTAAAGTCATTTTGACATAAGACAACAACGACACGTGTGTCATGTGTTAATTTTCGTTCAGTACTCTCAGACATTTACAACAATAAGGAGGTTAAAAATGTTAATCGAATGAATAATAAATACCACGCGGACAAACTCTCGGAATCAACTAGTTAAAATAGAAATTGTTGAGGGACTAGTTTACCTGCGCAAAATTTAAGAATGACTCACCAAGTGATGATCAATACAGTACAAGAGCTAGAACATGGCAGGTACGAATTGTTTGTGAAATGAAATGAAATATTTATCTGTTTTAAACAAACATATAACGTAATAAAGGCCATGTAAAACAACTTTTGCCATCTATTTAATTGCCTTAAGATAGTATGCACGCAAATATAATGTCATATTAATGAATATTATTAAATAATTATGTATACTCTATAACACATTTAGCTATCTATTAGCAAGATACATTTCGATGAGTCAGAGGTAAATATAATTGGTTCTTAATGTGTAAATGCACCTAAATATTATAAATTAATGTTTACTATTCTACGAATACGAGTATATAATGTGTTGTTATTCTAATAAATGTCATTAAATTGTAATGACATTATCGAAGCACTTAGTAGTGTTGTTAAAAGTAATAAATACTACAGGTGGCACACCAGATGATATCGTCGAGTCGTTCAAACCGCGGCTTCACAATAGCGTCGCCGGCCGACGACAACACTACTCCGGAAGGATCGTACCGGGCAGGTCGTCGCGGTAGCAGGAGTTTACCTGCTACACCAGTGCACTCCCCTAACTCAAGTCCGACTAGTCGCCGTAAAATGGGCGGCAATAGGTAAGATTGTATTTTATTCACTTAATAATTTTTTGTTAGTCATTTTTAACAGAAATCATCCCTATAATATTATTATATTATAGTAGAATGGGCAAGTGATCTATTTGGTTCATAATGATTGGCTATTTTAGTTATTTGTTTCGTTAGATTTCGGTCAGTGTTCAAATATTTGTTTTTTTTTATTGATTGTTTATATAAACATCATAGCAACATAATATTTAGATTTATGTAATATTAATATTGGTGTATTGTACACCAATACAATTGTGGTTGGAGGGGTACCTGGGTTTTTTTGCATTTTACTTCTCTGTAGTGCCGAAACACTAAATCTCTCTGGTCAAGTCTGGCTGGCCTTTTGAGAAACATCTTTTAAGTTTTTATAGTGTCTAGACATATTTATTATAAAGAAGTCTGTAAAGTTAATGTGTTAAAATTATGTACATATTTTCTATTTAAATTTTTATTAATAATTGAATTTGCAATATCTTTAAATTTGTTTTAAATTTGTATCTTAATTACTAGTCATAGTGTAAATATATTGTTTTTAACCACAAACAATTGAATACTTAAAAAGTAATTAAAATTTAAATTCGTTTACGGATATTTTCGACATGTAGATTTTATGGAGTCACATCAATTTAGTTTTTTTTTATATAATAAAAACTGGTTGTTCTCACTAATTGTAAAAACAAGTAGTCGAAAACAATATTTAGTAATGCTAACTGTCATTTTGCCTTTTTGCGACATTTAACAATATATTGCAATTGTAAAGTCTGGTGCAAGAAGAACACTTTACTCCTCAGGAGTAGCTAAATACAGAAGGTACAGTACATTTTGCAATGTTCATCATATTGACATTTACTAATTTTTATTAAGAGGGCCGCCAGGTTATTTGCTATCCATATCTCATTAGTAAATCATCATTAGGCCTGGTGTTTATCTAAGCGGAGATCGTTCGTTCCGTTGAGGATGGCGCCATTTGGTGTCAAGATTTTCTAGGCTACCTTACGAAGGCACACACAAGTACACAAAGGTTTCTAATATCTTTTACTGGATTTACGTGGCATCTGAAGCAATACGCGTATAAAAAATTTTTTAAATGAATATTCAGTAATTTTATACTATAATCCTAGTCGTGCTTCGCGGCTTTGGTCGTTTCAATCTTTATATAAAGTATTCTATATTTTAAGTTCGGATATAATTTATCTGTGTATCAAATTTAACTCAAATTCGTCTCAATTGAATAGACGAACCTTTTTACGTGAAAAAGTAATAAACAATTATAAAACTATTTCCTATATCCAGTAAAATTTAAGCATTTTATATTTAATAAACAATCTAACCATAGTTGGCTCAGTCTCTTGAGCTGGATATAATGACTGTGGAAATAGGTGGTTCAATTTGAATGCAATTGTGAGATATGAGAAAAGGATACACTCTCTACGCTTGAGTCATGTCTGAATTAAAAGCAGAGGATATGTATTAGTTTCGAAATTCTATTGTTTGTTTTGGATTTTGTTTATGTTAGTACCTTGGCACAACCTTTGTTATTTGGCAAAAATATTATTATGTATCTAGGTCTTAGGTAAACAAATGTATACTAGCTTAACAATTGTCTAATATCATATGACTCTACACATCAAGTTACGTATATTTTGTTAAGTTATATCTCCGTGTTTGTCATATTTGCAACGTTACTTTTAACGGTAATGTGATAAAATTGATAAAGACTCCAGAGTTTACTTAATTAATGTATCCATGAAAAATAATGATCATAAAATAACGAAAAGGTGACCTACAAATTAAACTATCAAAATTAACTTGAAAGGCGTCTCCTCGGTGTCTAAAAGTAACAACAACAAAGATAAAATAGCCAATCATTAAATTACGGTGTTGTGGTCTGTCTTTTACGTTTGATCTCTGTGAATTTACTCGGAGAACAATATGTATAATTTGTATTTATTCGATTTTTTGTTGTATTAAATGCAATAGATGATATATTGATATGATGCAATAGATTCTAGACAAAATATTAAAATATAAAAATCATATTGGATAATTATTATATTTTGTGGTTGAAAAATATCGAAGCGGAATCCCCTTTGCACCTACTAAATTGTCAAGTGTTTAATCTTATAAATGTTTATCTATTTCTAGGTTTTTCACGTCACCTTACGAGCCTATGGAGGACTCATCCAACCGCTCCTGGCTGACAATGGCGTTGCTTGGTTTCAAGAAAGATTTAACTACATCTACTTCAACACTAGCTGAAGAGGATGCTTTAGAAACTAGGTTGAAAGGTTTGTAAATACAAGATTTACTTATTTATTTACTTATTTATAAATGACTTCTTTTAAATGACTATTTTAAATAACTTCAAAAAAAAAATCCTATTTAAATGTTCTCAATTATCTTAATAAAGTATTTTAATAATTTAATTTAAAAATTATTTTGCTTTAGTCTTTTTTAACAGTTTGTGCTTACATTAAAATTCTTTGTATAACAACTTTTTAATTAATAAGATGCGTTACTTTATTCTTTGATTTAGAAAAAAAAAACAATAAATAATGTTTTTTTTTTTATTAAATTGCCTTCCACTGTCTTAAGACATTCATATGTTTTGAGCGAAGAAAAAACAGCTAATTTTTGAGTAGGGTGTGGTATATTATTTATATTTATATATTTATATGTAGATATATATGTATTACTATTGTATCTTTAAAATATAATGTTTTGACATTTGTTATAGGTAACCTCGCGGAGTCTGTCGAAAGTCTCGGTCCGGCCCCGAAAGGCAAGGATGCGAAGTTAATTTCACCTGAGACATCCTCTCAACAACCAAAATTGTTGAAACAGGGTAGTTCTTTCCGCCCTAAGCCCTCAGAACTACGAGAAATGAACTTTTGGTCACCCACATCTATGTAAATTTTACAACAATTTACAGTAATGTAATGTAATAGATACAATTTACACTAGTATAATAGTAGTCATATAAAACAACACAATCTGATAAAGATAAAGCATCTGCTATCATTAATTATTATGTTATTTGCTAGAATTAACCAAAAGATGGGAATTTTAGCAAGTACCACGTGTTACCTACATTATTTAAACTCTGAGACTGTTCTTGATTTGTGAATTAATTAACTTGCATGCTTATACATAAATTATTTAATATAACTTCGATCGTGGATTGAAAACTTATTTAAAACTAGCCTTTTATTACCTGAATCATCATTGCACAATTGTATCTTGACTAAAGACATATGTCTGGTTGCTCGAGGTTATTTCCTATGTATGCTAATGTCCTGGGGAGAACACCAGGTTATTAATTGACTATTATCATGCGGCCAAATGGTTTAGTATAGAGATTTAATTGTAGTGTTTAAAGTTATTTTGTTGTAATTATATAATAACAAACCAACATCATTTATGAAAATGTAATTTAAGATGTTCAAAAATGTGTTCCATTTTAATATTCCATTATTTGTAAGGCATTATACAGTATGTCGTTATTATTAATCAGTTTCATTACTTACAATAGTCGTGTATATAATTGATAAATTCATAAGACATCATAATATGTTTTTTTCATCTGTAAAATTAATCCTAACTTTACTACTTCTTAATATTATGTCCAAATATTTTGTTAATATATGTACCTAACACCTTTATAGAATATCATTTGATATTTGGGCATAATATAATCTGTAGCATGTAGGAACTATAACGTTTTGTTCTAATGTTTAATAATTGGAGATGTTTGATGTAGCTAATGCTTGCTTCTTATTGTTCGTTTATCAGGGGAATTTGACAATCTCTTCGCCTACTTCAGTGGGAGATGGGCGTGATGTATGGATGCATGTATATGGATGTATGAGATTTACCATGTCCTAAATGTATTTGATATTGAGATGGTTTAAACAAAAGTTGTCACTTTTGATCTGAAAGTATTATGTAGACGATAATGTTGTGTAATTTACTAATTTTGTTTGAAAGGTTTAAGCGATCTTAATTATTTTGAGCAGAAGAAATAATGATTATATACTTCTTATATTAGGGTAAGACTTTCTGTTATTTGTCATATTTATATTAATTTCTATAGAGTAATAATGAAATTAAAAAAACCTTTATATTTAATATGTATGGTTTTATTTTCATCAAAGCTATTAAAATTGTGGTATTCTACTATACTGTTTATAAGATAAACTTCAGTAGATGAAATTTCTTCTCAAACTGAATTCTATTAATAAAATTTAAAATCGTCCCTTAAGGTTAGGCACATAGTGAATGTTTCATTAGTAGCATCTCTATAAGTTCTAATAGGACCAGTTGAGGTATATCCTAGACAATTAAAAATAATTATCGAAATCGGATAACAGCACAAGTTACGATAGGATCAGTTATTAAGTAGTGAATAATCGTGTCCCATTTTTTTATCATAATTTCTATCATCATATATATATGACATATCCCAGGTAAAGAATGATGGTCATGGTATTTTGTAAAGAGTAATGCGCGGTTATCTCGTTACATAGTAGCTATTGCCCGTACTGTAATATACGAACGTCATAAAATAAAAGAAACTATACTCACGTGTGATGACTTTAATCCTTGTTAATACTAATGTGAGTGAGTTTGTTTGTTTGTTAGCTTTTGGTGCCTGAACCGTTTAATCAATCGTTATTAAATTTGGTATACATGTATTATTTGGGACGAAGAAGGACATAGCCATTTATTCACTTCAATAAACAAATCTCGGATTTTTAAGATTACATCGAATGATAATGCTCTTGTTACGTTAAAAAAAGTTCATAAGTCTTTAAAAAAAGTTCTTTTGACGAGGCGACTGACTGAATCGCCCTGCAGCTAGTTCTATTCCAGGCCATGTCTTAGTCCTGCCTGTACGTCATGATCCCTAGTTTTTTCATTATCTGTCGCATGTACATAGTTTCTCATATTTTTCCTTCATCTTTTGCTTTCTATTTTTTTCCTTTTGATCTATATATATAATTAATGCCACTTTTCGTTGTAATTTTATAACTTAAGAACGGGCTTACCTATTGTTTAGGCTTAGTTTGGACTATTTAGTAGATGGTTTATGTGAAGTTTGCACAAAATCGGTCGAGCGGTTCTTCATTTATCACATTTTTTGTAACAAATGAATTTAATAAATGGCGGATCATTTTGTTAATGGGGATTTTTGTGTCAAATTCAAACTTTTTTTTGATGGGGATTGTGCTGTCAAATTAAAACTTTTTCAGCGTTGTCAGTACAAGCATGTTGTTATGTCATTTATGCGGTCGTTTCATTATGGACTTGCTTCTATTAAAGCAAATTGTCAGTGATATTGATGTTAAAATTTTTTTTTCACTTTATACGTAGCGAAGCACGTATCGGGCCGCTAGTACACTATAAAATAGTGGCGGCCCAGCATTTTCCCTCTACTATTCTCTTACTATTTTAATTAATATTATATTCTCAGTCACCTTATTCAAGACTTTGTCGTTCGTCATTTTTTTCTGTTCCGCTTATTCTTTCTATTCTCCTCCATGTTCACGTTTCGAATGCTTCAAGTATCTTTCTTCTGCGTCACTGTCCATGTTTCACACACAAGAAACACATGTTGTTACAAAAATGGCAAATAGATGTTGTATCATAAATAAAAGTGACGAATAACGAATAAATGTAGGACCAGCACACAGGAGAACTAATGAAGTTATCGCGTGACATGTACAAAAAAAAATGCACTGAAAGTATTCAGTTTTGATAGCATGTACTTATCTATTTGCACCTATGTTTCCTTATTTATTATCAGTTTATCCCTCGTGTTTACGTTCATGACTTTCTATCACACAATATGAATATAAACTTCGGCACTGGGCAGTAAAATATGATAGTTATTTCGTATTGTTGTCAGCTGTAGGTAAAGGCACAATAGTTATTAAAGGCATCATTAAGAGCGATTCAATTTTAATACCTAACAAAATAAAAATGTTTATTGTCGCGTGACAGACATTTTATTATTAGTCCATAATTTGCCCATATTTTTATTATCGTTTTACTATGATGTATAGGTTGACAACTTCAATATTCTATTCAAATTTTAAGACTTTTATCCCAAATGGTTTTACAATTAGGGATGTGTAATATACAGCAATATCTATATATTTTAGCTATAATATCAATATACTGACATAACAACGAATATGTTAAATGTCTGTTATTTAATATAAATGTCGAAATTAGAACGATCAAAATTAATATAGATATCCGACCGATACGAGCAATATCGGAATGGGTTATGACCTTTTTCCCGCTATTAATGTCCAAAAGTACCCAATATATATATATATATATATATATATATATATATATATATATATATATATATACCGGTACTAATATTGCCAATGTCTGTTTACAATGATTTCAATTACAAGGTATTTATACTGTATACACCACTTAGTATTCCTTACGCCATTGCTAGCAATGTAGGGTATATAACTGTGTATTGTTAGGCCCATCTCCATGCCATTTTCCTTGGAAATCTTCGAGATTAATTCCTGGTGAATTCGTCACGATAGGCTAATTAGTCAGACTTTATCGTCATCTATAAAGACTTACTAGAACGTCGTCAGCATTACCCAATGGTACAGGTAAGACATCGGTTATATTTTCGTGGAGGGGAAAAACGAGGAGATAGACGGAAATATAACACTATCATTCTTAGGAATACCATGAGGACATTAAGAATACACACGGTATCCCATGGGCGTCCCAGATATAGATATTCCATGATGACCATGATGGCATATTTATATGTGATGGTAAAAAAAATTTGTTCGGAAATACGAGTTGTATTTAATAATATAATTGGTCGACATCTTGGATATAGAAACGGATACAAATTAGTCGTGTTACAGTTTGTGGTTCATAAGCTAGATTTACCTAAAAAGTTACAGCTGGCACGCGATCACGATACACGCAGCTTTTACGTAGAGCCAATTTGTTATATGTTATCGATATTTCGTGTTTCCAATTTAGCAAAAAATGTGCCCTTATTTGATTTTTTAAGTGAGTCGTAAACCCTAAATAAATATCAGCTCGAAGAAAGTCTTGTTTTCCCACAATTTCTCTTCCGACTTTTTAATTAGTCTCGTTTCATTACTCAAATCGGATTTGCGTTCGCGCCCGTGGCTCTTAAGGACTGCCTAATTTTCGCCGTCTGAAAAAATTTATTCGAGGAACGAATTAAAGTTTTTTACCCACAAACTCGAATGAGTCGAGATGTCACTTTTAATTTTTTTTGCCCAAATTAAGCTCTATAAAAATGAAAGTTTAAAATTCAAGTCTTTTAGGGTTCTAGAGTAACAAAATTATCAAAGTGTATTTCTTATATTTTCGTTGTATCGGTCTTATTGTCCGTATGAGACAGAATTTAACCTTTTATATACCTACTATATATAGTATTACTTATTGATTTGCAGTCCTATTCTGAGTATGTAGTCGAGCAAATATAGCCGTGCAACTTTTGGCGGAATCGGTGAAAATTAATTAAACAGTTTTGGGGTTAAATGGAAACAGCTGCTTCAGATATTGTAATTGATATTGAACCCCTTCATCTTAGTTAGGTAGATTATTACTGTGACGTGAACAGATGGATGGATTCACTAGTTGGTTGGTGATATAGTGAGGATAGGTACTACGACACACATACACCATTGATAGATGATCTGGATTGCTCGATATTAAATAGCTCGGTGATATTGTATGATAGCCAGTTTCTACGTGAGAATAAAGGATTGTATAGACTAGTAGGTAATCTTGCTATTAACAATCTGTTTTCGAAATATAAGGAATTCGTTTTGTACAATAATAAATTATAACGCTACTAATTTCATATATCGCGTAGTGAAACTAAAAATAAGATCGACCTACTTTATGCCTACTAAATACCTACTAATTGAGTTCGAATATCGCCCAAAATATAATAACGTTAATATGATAAAAATATAATTTATGGTAGAAAAAGTCACTTGTCGCAATGTTTGAAGTAATTCCTGATTTATATGGCGATACTTTTCTATATTACTGAACTATTTAGGGTAACTGTATAAGTTAAAATAAAATTTAAGTTTGTGGCGCAATTCTAAAATATGGGTCTATCTATATTTGTTTTTAAAATTTATACGTATTTTTATAAGGTACATAATACAACATATCAGAAAAAAGGTTAAAAAATAACCAAGTGAATTAAAAAAAAACTATGATAAAAATTAACCGAATGTTCTAAGTTTAGACATGAAATAGCAGAAACTTAAAGATACTTGAAGAAAATCCTTTTGTGTACCTACAAAGGTAAGGTAGGTACTTAGATACAAATCTTGAAAGAAAGTGAGATATAAATAAGTAATTGATTTTGATATCGACAGAACAAGATGTAGATTAAATAATATCAAATGGTGTGGTATAATCGTGACAGGTTCATATGAAATTCAGATCTAATCTCAAATTGATTCGGGATGATCGTCGGAGCAACCGCGCGAGCAATCGAATTTCTTCTAAGTCTAGTCACGTACGAGTTGGTACCTATGTAACATATGCACCCGTATTGCTACGAGTAACTCTATGTATTTAGGGTGTGTCACGTTATCAATCTAAGGTGTTTTAGAGGTTTATTACACTGTCAAATATGTATGAGGTTATATTTGTTTGTGATCTTATTGACGCACATTTAATATTTGGGTAAACGGTATTTTGTTAATAGTTTTTTAAGTGTTATTCCAAATAAATTAATTATCAAAATATAGTTACCATGTAATTAGGTATTTACCATAATGTTTAATGACCATAAACAATTTTTAGGCACTTAAGATATATTATTTTAATACGCTATTAAAGTGATATTCCGAGCGCAATTTACTAATGAGTTTCACATTGTGCACAAAGTACCAAATTTTTTTCCTCAAACCCAATGCAACCGCGATCGATTATTATAAAATTTCCTAACAGGATCTTGAATGTGACTTTATACAACGCAGAAAATATACTACGTTTGAGTGTTTATGTATATACACTATGGAAATCTACAGTTCGGAAACAATCCGGTGGAAGTGTATTAAAGATTAATTAAATTA